TCTCTTCTGGAGAGTTGGGGGGGGGGGAAGCCGGTAAATTGCACCCAGATTGGAGGGGCAGACAGGAAACCAACCGGCTAGGCTTCAGATCCCAGGCTGATGATGCTGCAAACCAGGGGTTTGCTAGCAGCCTGCAAAGCTGCACCTGTTGGGTTTCAGCCTGTAATTGAAGAAAGGGGGAGGGCTTGAAAAAGAGAGGGTCCCAGCCTTGCTTCAAATTATTCTGTTTTCTGACCTGTGGGATTATCTTGTTTCAAATTAAATCTGTTTTCTGACCTGTTGGATATCTTGCTTCAAATCAAACTGGTTTTCTTTCCTGACTTGCATCAAATTAATCCACTTTTTGACCTGTTGGATGTCTTCCTGGCAGCGTTAAGTTGGGGTGGCTGGCGTGGCGTTCGGATTTGCAGAAAAGCTCCCCATCCCTGTGAACATGAAGACTTCTGAGCATGAACAGAGGGCATCCCCTCTCCTATAAACCATGAAGATACCACGATAGCTTGGAACCCAAGCGTTCTTACATTCATACAACGTCCTTTCTCGGATAAATTGTCATTCTCTGGGTTCGTTTAAACCGTCGGAGCTAAACCACGGTAACCCAACTCATCAAGCCAACCTCAATTAACCAGGTTGCAGCTTAGGCCCTGCAAACCAGGTCAGCAAGCCAACCAGGGGAAGGAACCAGGATCGGCTCCCCGTTCAGAAATGCAGAGTTAAATTCTTCCTTTTAGCAGCCAGAGTTGCAGCCTTCTGCCTCCAGAATTTTCCCCTGGTGGGAAAAATTGCAGAATTGTTCCCCCCCCCCACAAAAGCTCTGCCTGTCTCTTATTTTGGCAGTGGGTGGTAGGTGGGTGGGCAGCCACCAAGACCCCACGGCAACCAGCCACCTTGGGCGGCCCTCGGTGACGTCAGCAGCTTGCAGGCAAAACCATAAAACCTTCCAGCGGTGCCCGGCTCTCTCTGCAGTACGATTCTATCGTTGCTAAGACAGGAAGGAGCAATTTAAAATAAATTTAAAATTGCCTGCACTCTTAATATTGGCAGGAACACCCCCCCTTGCAACCCAGAGGTTACCACTGGCGGGAGTGGGGAGATTTTATGGCAGGCCACCATTTTAGCAAGCAAGGGCTGAGGCGAACTCGGAAAAGTAGCTGACCTTGCATTGCCCAGGATGGAGCTAAATTTAAACCGGGTTTCTGAACGACTTTCAGTGCACACAAACACACACACACACACGTTCCCATAATGCAAGTTTGTCAATTGGGCGGGAAACGCCATTGTGCATGGACCGCAGTCCTCAACTTACGACCGTAACGGAAACCCCCCAGTTCTGTTGCTAAGTGAGACAGTTATTAAGGGAGTTTTGCCCCTTTGGATGACCTCCCTGGCCCCCAGTTGTGAAAGGAGTTGCCGCAGTTGTTAAGGTAGTCACACCTGGTTGTAAAGTGAATCGGACTTCCCCCGTTGACTCGGTTGTAAAGTGAATCAGGCTTCCCACATTGATGGTTGTAAAATGAATCGGGCTTGTCCCAAAAGTCACAAAAGAAGGGTCATGTCACATCTCTCTCTCTCTCTCTCTCTCACACACACACACACACACACACACGGACATTGCGACCGTCGTAAATAGGAGTGGTTGAATTTGGATCAGGTGACCACCACAGGGACGCTGCCAGCGGTCGTTAAGTGTGACAAACCACGATAAGTCATCTTTCCAGTAACTTTGGTCACTAAGCAAACTTGTTGCAAGTCGAGGATTACCTGTCTAAGGTATTTTCTTTTGAGCCTCCAGTGGAAAGCGGTGGTTGGTCCTTCTGCAAAGGGCTCCGCCCCCAGCTCTACAAGCCCCGCCCCTGCAGCCTCCAGTCCCCACCAACAGGGACTCTGTAGCCGAAACCAGGTTAGGCTTGGCGTTGCACCACAAGGAAGGGAAAAGTTTTACCTTCAGCGGCAGCTAAAGAGAAAAGCAGTACAGGAAGGCTGTGGGAATGTGGGCGGAGCCAAGGCCTGGGAATTTAGAGCAGGCAGCAGCACCGGATTGGCTGTTCTCGGTCAGCTGGCACGGAGGGAGGAAACAGAACGCTTTTATCGGCGTTCCCATTGGCGTTATCTGGAGCGCCCTCTAGGGGTGATGGGGGTTAATGGGTAGAAAGGAAAAGAAAGGGGGAAAGGGAAACGGGAAAAAAGGAAAAGCGAAGAGAAAAAAAGGGAAGAAAAACTTAACAGTTTGGGGCTTCCGGTTGTCAAATAGCAAAATTCAACTCTTGACAATTTCATCTCTCTCTACTCTCCCGCCTATATATCATCTGTCAACTACCATCTATCAATCAATCTTCTATCTACCTGTATCTATAATAATAATAATGATAAAGTTGGAATCTATCTGTCTGTCTGTATTGATCTCTCTCTCTCATCCATATCTATTGATCTCTCTCTCTCATCTATCTCTACTGATATTTACTCTCACACAATATCTATCTATCTATCTATCTATCTATCTATCTATCTATCTATCTCCATCCATCCATCTACCTATCTACCTACCATCCATCCTTCCCTCCTCTCTCTATCTGCCAATGCAATAAAACTGCTTCTTCTTAGGGAGCTCCCACTTTGATCTATTGCCCTGGCATAGCCTGGTGGTCTCCTTTCCATCCCCTTACCGGGTCAGATTCTGCTGAGCCAACCAAACTGGGTATTTTTTGCAGAGAAGAGATTGTAAAAAGGCAGAAGAGCTGTCAGTTTTCAGATTTTGGGGAGGGGGATACTGAAGCAGCCCAAATCAGTTGGTGAGCCGGCTGGGGAATTCTGGGAGTTGAAGTCCCCACATCTTAAAATGGCTGAGGTTGAGAAACTCTGATTTTGGGCTACATTATTCCAGTTACCTTCCAGTTGGGAATTGAGTTAGGTAGCTGCAGCGAAGCCCCCTCCCACAGCTGGGTGGCTATCAAAGGAAAGTGAGCTGAGTTTGTATATATCAAGGACCGTGAAATCAACACGCTGTGCCTAGCTCTCGCTGATACAGCCATTTATCAGCTCACCCTCCTGCACCCCAAGCACCGATTAAAACTCCAAGCATGTCAGATCAGGGTGGACAGCAGGCTTTCCTTAAAAAACAACAACCCAAAACCACCTAAATTTTGTGCTCAGATCAAGCCAGATTCTACACAGGACACCCCCTCCCCAGATAGGCCATAAGGCAATAAATCAGTTTTAAACTAAATTATTTTCACTGATTTGATCAGGCCTTTCATGCTCAAATCAGCCCAGATTCCACATACACACCGGTAACCTAAAATGCAATAAATTGGTTTTAAACTCAATTATTCTCACCTATTTAACCAGGGCTTCATGCTTAAATCCACCCAGATTCTACACACAGGGCCAAAACCCCAGATAACAAAGCACAATAAATCCATTGTGAACTAAATTACTTTTCCCTGTATTTAACACATGGTGGAAGGTGTAGAAAAACTTGGGAAGATTTTAAATTAAAAAAGCTAGAAACCCAGACAGGGGTGAGAAAACAACCCCACCCAGATGTCTTTGAAAACGCAGCACTAGGGAATCCAGACTTAGAAAATCAAAATTGGGGGCTCCCTTAAGCATTTTAGCAAGTAGTTTTGTTTGCCAATTTTGAAAAACATACAAAATCCTGCGGCATCGGTGTCTCCCGCCAGTGTTCAGGCTTGTAAATAAAAGGCCACATCCACTGTGTTGCTTTTTCAAAGTACCAACCGCAAAACACCAATGGGGGCAGTGCAAAAATGTTGAAATCTTCCAGCAAAGGGGCCCAGCTAGAAGACCTCAAGGGCCCCTTAGAAATTTATTGAAAGTTAGAACAATTAATCTGTGGGACGGCTTCCATCTAGAAGTTGTGGGCACTCCATCACTGGAGGTTTTTAAGAAGAGACTGGACAGCCACTTGTCTGAAATGGTCTAGGGTCTCCTGCTAGAGCAAGCAGGTTGGACTAGATGACCTCCAGGGTCCCTATCAACTCTGATAATGTTCTATGTTCCATCCTGTGGGGGGGGGGTGTCTATGAAAGACTCTTCCTACTGCCCCCTAGAGGCTAGAATGTGCCATTTCTATGCACAATTTCCCAGCAAAGACCCAATACTGGAATCCCAGACAAAAATGCGACAACACTTTTGCGACAGGCGTGTCCTCTTCTACCCCCCCTCCCGGCGCGCCGTGCACGCAGACACGCACCCCCACCATCTGCAGTGCGGCTGATTTTCTTGCTTTGCAAAGCTCAAGGGGGGACGGGGGGGGGAGGCGCAGTCCAGACACAAACGCCACCTGCGTGTTTTACGGCCACCCCCAATTTGTGTCGGAAGGTTTTTGGGTGTGTGGGGGGAAATATTGCCGCAATTGCTTTTGTGTGTGCATGTTTAGGTCCAGGAAGGTACCCAGAGCTATTAACGACAATGCCGAGCTGTGCAGAATGGGTGTTGGGAAGGGGGTGTCGGAGAATTCGGCGTCGAGGGCGGATCCTGGCACAATCACCCCATTGCGGCGTGTGTGCGTTTTCCACCCCCACCCCCTTTGTGTGGGGAGTCCCAGTTGTTGCTCGCCTTTCCCTCCCATCCTAACACAACGGTCCAATAGAGAACCAGGCAGACGACGACAAATCGCAAAAGTATGATTTAAAACGTGGGGATTCCCTGCGGAAGAAGCAGACAGAATATAAGAAGAATTCCTGTTGCAAAATCTTGAATTTTTTTTTTTTTTTACAGAATTAAGGCAGGAGGAACACACTCCGGGCAAAAAAAAAACCCATGACAATTTATCCTGGTTTATTCCTGTTTTACTCCCTGTGCAAAATGCAAACACAATTGATAACGGCCCCGTCTCCTTGGGACACCGGGAGGCTCTGCTCGCCCCCCCCCCGGATTGTTTCCTTTGCCACAATAAGGACTAGTAACTTGATCTTGCAAGCAAAGCAGGCCTGAAATTGCTCAAGAAGAAATTCTACAGCTGGTAAGGTGTGGTTTTCCTTTGGAACACAACCCATTGCATTTCCGACAACGCGCCAGCTGGCCAATACATTTTACTCAGCAGTGAAAAAAAACCGGTTTTTGATTTCTTCAACTAGGCTCAAAGAAGCTGCATAGGCAGTCCTTGACTTACGACAACAGAGACCGGGATTTGTCTCTGGGCAAGGCAGTCATTAAGCAAGGCGTGTCCCAATTTTGCAATTTTTTATTATTATTTGCCATGGTTCTTAAACAAATCATTGCAGTGCTTTAGTGAATCAGGCGGTCGTTAATGTGAATCCAGCTTCACAAAAGTCCCTTTTTTCACTTTTCAACAGTCACTAAACAAATGATTGTAAGCCAGGCGCCTGCCTATACTGTACTGCACTGTGTCATGCGATCAGAATGCAAACACTTGGAAAACTGACTCAGACCTACGACGGTCGTTGTGTCCCGGGCTCAGGGGATCCGCTTTTACGACCTTCTGCCAAGCCAAGGTGGATTCACTTACTAACCGCGTGGCTAACTTAACAAGCAAGGGTTTGCTTGCCAACCGTGGGCAGGAAGCTCGTCAAAGGGGGCACCCTCACAAATGTCTCGCTTAGCAACAGAACTGATGGTTGTAAGTCGAGCTGTATTCTACTTCGCCGATGGGAACACCCTTCTTTCCGTGTTTTTTTACGACAGGTATTTATTTCCTCCCCAGGAAGAACGAGGACAAAACCATGGAAAGGAAGATTTTACCGTTGGCAAAGTACGAAAAACAGGGACTGTATCCCATGCTCCACAGCGAGACCCCCCTCCCCATGTGACTTGCCAAAGAGAGAATCGGGGTCCGGTGGTTGCCCCCGCGCTGGCATCTCCGCCAGTCCCCGTCGTGCATGCAAAATCCACCCTAATTGCTGGCAGCCGATCTGTAATTAAAACTTCCACCCCGACATTTTCCTAACATCTCAATATCAAACACGGCAATTAATCCCAGCCGCCTGGAAGGTCGGGGAGCGGCAAAACAAGGCTGTGGAGGAGAGGGGTGGTGGTGGAGGGGGCCGTTGGGCAGGCATAGGGGGGTGGGGGAGAAGCAAACCACGTTTGCATAAACCATTATTTGCGTTCTTTCCAAGTTTGGTCCTTTGCAAGCTGCAGCAGCACAGGGCACCTGCTTGGAAAAAACCAAACAGCAGTGCGGTGGGCGAGGCCCCCTCCCCAATCTGAATTTTTGGCTATTTTTGCAAAACACCCCAGATGGGGAAAAAAGAGATTCTAATAAAGGGAAGAATTTGGTTAAAATCCCAGTTTGAGATGCACGGAAAATGGCTTTGCTTTTGATCAGCTGGGATCTCCTAAGGCAAAGAGGCCGCAGCTAGCCTGAATTAGAGAAGGAGACAAACCCTGATAGTGCCCCCCCAACAGACCAGCATGGCTGTTTGGAGGTTCAACTTGGCAAGTTTGCCACTTTTGGGGGGGGGTACCCCTCGGCTAGAAAAGCAGAGATGTTGCAATACGGTCAGTCAATGAACCAGCAATACCCATTCGGAGCTATCAACGACACTCTCTTTTATCCTCTTCGCTTCGTTCTCACTGTCACCATCTACCCAATATCTTCCCTGTCTCTCCTACCCTCCTCCCTACACATTTCCCAACTTTTTCTTTCGAGGACTCAGGAAGGGAGACAATGAGAAGGAGAAGGAAGCCCGGGAGTGCAAACAAGGACCTTCATTTCTAAAACGGGTTTATTGTTTGGCTCAGTCGCTGATGGTCCCGGAACGAGCGGGATCACCACCCAATTTAAAAACATGTTTAAAAAAAAAAAAGGAGAGCAGCGCACCAGCTACGGGAAGTTGGTCTCTTCACAGAAGATAAAAAGTGGAGCTGTCCGTTCTCGTCGAGAACAAAGCACGGGGAGGCTGACACTGTCCAGGGGTATGGGGTGGGTGGGCAAACATCACCCCAAAGAGGAAATTTTGAGGTGGGGTATACAAAGCCAACCTTCTCTCTTAAAGTAGCAATGTTTTAAGTCATCGCCAACTGGGGAAACAGGGAAAAAAATCTCCTATCTTTGGCGTACAATCCCGGAGAGATCATTTTCAGCCCAAAATCTGGAAGAGACTCAAATTTGAATTTTCTTGTCGGGGTGAGGAAGCCAGTTCGGAGGGGGGGGGGGACATCTCCATCCGGTCCTGGAGGCAGAAAGCACAGCTTCGACATCTGGTGGGAACAAGACGCAACGCCTGGAGGGAAAAGACAGAGAAAGAGGGATTGTTAAGAGAGCACATTTCATTTTTTGAGAGAGTTAAAGTTCAAGGTTTTTTCATTTCAGCTGCTCTGTTCTTCCACATTGCAGTGAGGTCCTTCCCGTTTTTTTCTTTTCCGACAGAAGAGCTGCACTCTGCCCTCAATTACCAGCAGTCCTCAACTTACGATGACCACCGACGCCCAAGTTTCTGTCGCTAAGCGAGACATTTGTTAAGTGCTGCATTTGACTTACGGATGTTTTTCACACAACCATCGCAGCATCTCCCACCATCACGGGATCAAAATTTGGATGCTCAGCAAGGTGACTTGTATTTATGACGGCCGTGGTGTCCTGGGGTCACGTGACTGTCCCACTTTGTGACCTTCCAAGGCACAAAGTCAGTGAAAGAAGCCAGATCCATTTAGCAACCGGGTCACTAACTTAACAACTCCGACGAGTCCCTTAACAACGGCACGCGAGGTCGTAAAACGGGGCAAAAGCTCCCTTCACAAATGTTTCGCTTAGCAATAAAAACAGTGAGTTCAACTGTGGTCGTAAATCAAGGACTGCCTGTATTAGAGGACAGTAAACAGGTTGGGTATTCTGGAATTTATTCGATTTAGTGCTTAGTAATTTGAGGACTAGCTGCTTAAACGGCCGCCAAGCTCTTTTCTCCTTTGGTTTGCAAGAAGCAAAGTTGCCGGGCCGAATCTGGAAGAAAAATCATTGTCAAGCAATAAAAAAAAAAAAAAAATGAATTTAACGTTTGCATCTAAAAAAAACAACAACAAGCAAGGCGGGCGAACAAAGCCGGCTTGTTTGCAGGGACCCAAATGAATTTTCTTCGCGTTCTTAATATGTATAGATATTTTCGCCCTGATTCCCCTGGCTACGGTCCTTAAGACCGTCCTTTGCTGACACCGCGCCGGCCTCTTTTTCCTTCCCACCTTTTGATATTGACTTCTGACATTTTCATGGCTGGCTTATTTGATTTCGGCTCGGCCTCGACTGATTATCCAATTTGTTTTCTAATTTTCTGCCTTTCTCCCTTGCAACGTGGTTGGCCTTTTGCTGGCTGGGGCCGTTTCGCCATTAGCTCAAATTTTTATTTTATTTATTTTTTTAAACGGTGCCTTTTTTATGTCACGGCTCAGAAGGTTAGGTGGAACTGGTTGCCGCCCTGAGGTAGCTGTACATTACAGGCGTATTGGCTTAGTGACCGCCGCTTCCAAGTTATGACAGTGCTGAAATTGCCAGTCAAAACAATAGAACGTCATCAGAGTTGGAAAGGGACCTTGGAGGTCCTCTAGTCCAATCCCCTGCTGTAGCAGGAGACCCCTTACCATGAGCAGACTTTAATCCTTGACAAGAAGAAAACATCCCTCTATTAGAGATGCTGGTCCCCACCTCCGGGGTTCGACTAAATGACCTCCAGAGTGCCCTCTCATCCATCCATCCATCCCCCTCTTTTCACAAAACATACGCTCTCGTTGAAGATCCTCCAGAGTCTGAATTGGGAGCAGAGAGGATCATGTCAGATTAAAGAGGTGCACCCTATACGTCCAGTATCGGGAACGCTGTCTGTCCATCAGTCCAAAAAGCAGCTTTGTGATGAGTTGAAGTTGAGTTGAAGAGGAGTCTCTGGTTATTTCTAAAGTGTCATGTGATCGATCGGCATCTTTGCAGTGGGGATAACAATGGGGTGGAGGAATCCCTCTGCCAGCGCTCCCTAACCGGCCCGAGTCGCGGGGGAGACGCGCGATCCGAATTCCCTGCCGTCAGAGCCAGAGAAAGGGCACCACCAGGAGACCCAGGCAGGCGAGGCCAAGCTGGATCGGGGCAGGACCACGTCCACGAATGACAACTGCTTCTAGGGGCAGAAGAGAGAGAAAGGAGATCCAATTAAAATAAATAAACCTGTGAATAGAATAGAATAGTGAATAGAATGGAAAATAAAATAGAATAGAATATAGAATATAAAGAATAGAATAGAATAATAAAATAAAAATATAGAGAATAGAATAGATAGAATATAAAGAATAGAATTGAATAATAGAATAAGAATAGAATAGTGCTGGAAGGGACCCTGGCGGTCATCTAGCCCAGCCCCCTGCTCAAACAGGAGAACCTACACCATCTCGGACTTAAGACCGTTTTTTTTTCACCCAACCGTTGCAGCATAACTCCTTATTAATACGCCATTTTTTTCTGCATTTTAAAAGACGGAAATGCTCTCCAACTCACTCTCTGGACCGCCTCTCCCTCGAGGCTGGGATTTGGGTGCCTCCGTCGCAAGGTCTGGGGCTAGAAAGGAAACAGGAATAAGGCAGCAATCACACGGTGGTCTCCTTTCCCTCGGTCCCCACGCACAGTCTCAAGAACTGCCTCCCCACCAGCTGCATGGACAGACTGACTTACTGGTGGTGGCTTTGCAGCAGACCAAAACGTGTAGCTTCAAACACTGGCCAGGACTCTCTGGTGCAGGAATTGCTGTCAGAAGAAGAAGAAAAAAAAGAGACCACGAATGGTGGTTAGAAGATCAAATGTCCAAGTTAACCAAGCAAGATCAAGCCGGTTTATTTATTTAGAGAGCTTTCGGTTTTTTAAACACAGGTCGTCCTGGACTTACAAGAGTTCTTTAAGGGACTGTTCAAAGGCACTGAAAAACGGGACTTGTGAGTGACCGTTCTTCCCACTTAATGACCGTCGCAGCATCACGTGATCAAATTTAGACGCTTGGCAACTGACTCGTATTTATGACGGTTGCAACATCCCAGGAATCACATGATCCCCCTTCGCAACCTTTTGACCAGCAAAGTCAACGGGAGAAGCCGCGTGACTCGCTTAACAACCAATTCGCTTAATGACCGTAGCAGCCAAGGTCGTAAAATGGGGCAAAACTATTGTGATCTGCATGTGGCATCGGTGCCATCACCGATACACAGGTAGTCCTTGACTTGTGACTTTACTGTTGCTAAGCAGAACTGTTGTTAAGTCGTAAGTGTGTGGGTACAGCGCACACCTTCCAAGACCGGGACACACAATTGACCAAAAAAAGGGTGTTTTTTTTTTACTGGTGATTGCAACCACAATGGTATAACAGGTGTGCATGGCTTACAAAAATGCCATTTGCCAACTTCAAATGAGCCTGGCATTTTGCGGACATCAAAATGCAGGTTGTGGCAATGACAATTTTTGCTTCTCCCTCCTCATTTTGTGCACTTGGAAGAAGCAGCCGGCCTGTGGACCGGGATCCGCTAACAGGCGTATTTATTTCAATAAAGCCGTCCGTAAAAAGCATGATGGCGATTTAAGGCCGAGCGACACTCGGCCCCAGAACCGTGACACTCTTAGTGTGTGTCTCTGATTTTTTTATTTTATTTCATGTTTTTAATGGAGCACGGCAAATCGGCAGCTTTTTTATCAGAAGCGCAAAGACGGAACGTTATAAATTCCAAAATCGGGCAGGTTGTTTTGCCATCCGTGAGAAACAGCGGTTAAAATCTGGGCTAACGACGGAGGAAAACTAAGTTAGCTTAGGGATCAATCCTGAAACTCACCCACCCCGCAGGGTTGTTGTTCCCAGGCTAAAAGCAATGGCAGGTCTGATTTTTTTTGGACCGCTTGGTGTTTAGCAGAGCCATCCAGGACATCGGGAAGAAAAAAAAAAAAAAAAAGAAATGTGGCATGATTGCGTCAATCCCGCCAATTATAAACCACAATTTTAACTCGGTTCGGGCGTTCCCTATTGACTTTGCTTATCAGCGGGTTGCAAAAGGGGATCACGTGACCCCAGGGTGCTACGACCGTCATAAATACAAGTCAGTTGCTGAGCATCCAAATTTCAGCCATGTGACCACAAAGATGCAGTAACGGTCATAAGTGTAAAAAACTTAGAAAAAACTCCTAAGTCTTTCTTTGCAGTGCCGTCGTAACTTCCAACAGTCATTCAATGAACTGTTGTAAGTCGAGGACTGCCTGTATGACATGGATAAGGCTCATTGTGCAGACAAACAGAAATATAAGTTTAACTCAACACCCTTAAAAAAATATTGAAATACATTTAAATAAACTTGTATTTTAAATAAATCCAATTAAAATAAACCCGTGAATAGAATAGAATAGAATAGAGAATGGAACAGAATGGAATATAGAATAGAATAGAAATACAAAATAGAATAGAATAGAAATACAGAATAGAATAGAAAATGGAATTAGAATAGGAATTAGAATAGGAAATAGAATGGAATGGAATGGAATAGAATAGAGAATGGAACAGAATGGAATATAGAATAGAATAGAAATACAAAATAGAATAGAATAGAAATACAGAATAGAATAGAATAGAAATACAGAATAGAATAGAAAATGGAATTAGAATAGGAAATAGAATGGAATGGAATGGAATGGAATAGAATAGAGAATGGAACGGAATGGAATATAGAATAGAAATACAAAATAGAATAGAAATACAAAATAGAATAGAAAACGGAATTAGAATAGGAATTAGAATAGAATAAAATAGCTAGAAGGGACCCTGAAGGTCTTCTAGTCCAGCCCCCCCCCCCCCCCCCCGCTCAAGCGGGAGAACCTGTACCATTTCAGACAACGGTATTTTGTGTTTTAGGAGTTTATCAGCTGATGGATTGAATAAGTGGAAAAGGCTTCGACTCACATATGTAGTAATATTCACGGCCACTCTGGAACTCGATGCCCAGTGAGAAGGGGGTAAATCTCTGAATTTTCTCTGAGAATCGGACCGGCCCGTAGGCGGCATAAGGACGGTTGCATTCCCACCGTTTAAAAGCTCCCGGAGTTTCGTAGCAGCCTTGATAACCTTCGGCATTGACCATAAGCAGAGTGAAGGATTCCGGCTTTCCGGTGGCCCGCGGCCGTTCATAATGGGGACAGTAAATATCCAGATAGTCGTTGATGGACACTTGAATGGCGTAGCCTCCGTCTGAATCAAAGAACCTGGAAGCGGGAAGGAGAAACAGCTTCAAGTGACTCCTCAAAAAAATCCGGATTTATCTTGCAAGGAGGACAGAGCAGCGACTCATGCAGGGAAGCAATGGAGAGACTCTTTTTCTTACTTAACCCCCATATTTATCCACTTGTCCCCACTTGGAACAGGAGAGGGAGCTCTCAAACCGGGAAGCAACAGGCAGACTCCTCAATTTATTCCCTCTCCCCTTTAAACGGCAGATCTATCGCTCATACCGAGAAGCAACGGAGAGACTCTTTCTCACTTAACCAACATATTTATCCACTTGTCCCCTTCTTGAAACAAGAGAGGGAGCTCTCAAACTGGGAAGCAACAGGCAGACTCCTCCATTTATCCACTCACACCTTTAAACGACGGAGCGACAATTCATACAGGGACGCGACGGGAGGACTCCACTTTTCTACCTATCCGCTTTATTCATCCACTTCTCCCACCTTTAAAATGAGGGGAAGCTCTCAAACTGGGAAGCAACAGGCAGACTCCTTCTCAACATATAGCCTCTCCATCTTTAAAGCAGACCCTCAAACAGTCCCTTAAAACTCCCTTTTGTGACCTTCAGACAAGATTCATTTAACGACGTTACTAACAGCAACTGCAGCTGTGCCAAGACAGGTCGTAAAACGAGGCATTAAACAACTGTCTGGCTTAGCAGTGGAAATTTTGGGCCTCCATTGTTGTTGTAAATTGAGGACTAGCAGTGGTTCTCCTGGGCTAAATTCCTGAGATTAACCTAGCCCTACAGAGAGAGAGAGAGAGAGAGAAAAAAAGGAAGCCAGCGACTTCCCAGCCTGGCATTCTTGGTGTGGCCCATGAATTTGACATGCGGGCTTTGAAGAACGATGCACAAACACAGTTGTGCAAGAAAAGCGATTCAGCGGAAGTGGGCCATCGGGGTGGAGACGTTGCAGGTCCTTAAGAGACAAAAGGCTGCTGCTAAATAATTAGATACGCCAATGACCTATTTGGATCTTGTGAAGATGGAAAGATTAGTATCTCTTCCTCTGCTCAGAATGGAAGAGAAGAGAAGAGAAAATAGGAATAGAATAGAATAGAATAGAAGAGAAGAGAAGAGAAGAAAAGAGAAGAGAGAATACAGAATAAAACATAGAATACAATATAAAATATAGAATATAGAGAATAGGACAGGATAGGATAGAATAGAAAATAAATAATAATAGAATAGAACAAAGTAGAATTAGAAAGAATAGAATATAGAATAGAATATAGAATACAGAATACAACATAGAATACAACACAGAATATAGAATATAGAGAATAGGATAGAACAGAATAGAATAGAATAATGGAATGAAGAATAGAATAGAATAGAATAGAATAGAATAGAATAGAATAGAATAGAATAGAATAGCCAATGGGGAAAGCTGGATTCACAACGACCAGGTTACGAATTTATTAACTGCAAATTTATTAACTCGCTTAACACATCCCCTTCAAAGACATGCTTTAGGATGGGCCGTTCTCATTTCGGGAAACTTACCATGCCACCCACGCGAAGCTGGTTCGCCAGCTACACTCTGCACGTGGTCTGGAGAACCCTGCTTCCCATCCATTTTTATTATTATTATTATTTTTACTTAAAGGTTTTTGTGGCTTGGCTGGCTTTTGCTGAGATTAACACCTTTCCCCGCCGCCAGAGGAACGGCGCCGGCGAGTTAAATCCACCTTTTTCTTCCCTTGAAAAAAGGTTTGCAATATCCTCCCCACATTAAAAGCGCCGTTTCTCATTACAAGGCCGCAGTGACTCAACCAGCAAACAGCCCAAGCTGAGATTAACCATCAAGGCGGAGAAATTTTGCAATCGCAAAGCGAAGTCCAAAAACGCCAGCAAATTGGGAGATCGCTTCCCAACGCAGGAGGAGGTTGAGAACCAGAATTTTGCATCAGGGAGGTTTTCCCTCTGAGAGACATTCTAGGCCTCTCCCTGAACTGAGTTTGGGAATCCGGGCCAGCAATCAGCCCTCCGAAGATCACATTCGGATCCGGCGTTAAGAGACGTAGAGTCCGGAATAGGTTGTATTTTCCAAGCCACAATATGTAAGGGCAACATGTAAGCTTCAAAAGCCACTGTGGATGGGATGGGATAGGATAGAATAACAGAATAGAATAGAATAATAAAGAATAGAATAGAATAAGGAAGAATAGAATAGAAAATAGAATAAAATAGAAAATAGAACAGAACAGAATAACAAGAGAACAGAACAGAATAATGAAGAACAGAATAGAATAATGAATAGAAGAAAATAGAAGAGAACAGAATAGAATGAAGAATAGAATAGAAAATAGAATAGAACAGAACAGAATAACAAGAGAACAGAATAGAATGAAGAACAGAATAGAATAATGAATAGAAGAAAATAGAACAGAATAGAATAGAATGATGAATAGAATAGAAAATAGAATAGAACAGAACAGAATAACAAGAGAACAGAATAGAATAATGAAGAACAGAATAGAAAATAGAATAGAACAGAACAGAATAACAAGAGAACAGAATAGAATAATGAAGAACAGAATAGAAAATAGAATAGAACAGAACAGAATAACAAGAGAACAGAATAGAATAATGAACAGAATAGAATAATGAATAGAAGAAAATAGAAGAGAACAGAATAGAATAGAATGAAGAATAGAATAGAAAATAGAATAGAACAGACTATAGAAATAGAATATAGAATAGAAAGCAGAATAGAATAGAACATAGAATATAGAATAGAGCATACAACATAATATAAAGTAGAATAGAATATAGAATAGAATAAAATACAGAATAGAATATAGAATAAAATAGAAGATGTTTCCTAACATCACCCCCTCCAAATCCACTCTGCAAAACATCCAACAAATGTCATTTTTCATCCCCATTTTGCAACCTCTGTAACCAGAGCCCTAACCATCCCAAGGTCATGTTGGCCTTTGCAGCAAATAAACAGACTGAAAAGTGGAGTATCCCTCCGTTTCCCTTATAGCCTTTTTCTCATGCACCGCCAAAGAGTTTTGGGGTGCAAGAATATTTCTTAGAACAGGATTTGGGGGGGGGGACATAGAGGATCAGAATGATAAAACAGGGCTTGTAAACTTTCCAGGGCGACCGCAAACTTTTCCGGGAGATTTTGTATTGCCAAGCGTTGGAGATTTGAAACCGTGACAGGCTTTTAAAAAAACAAATGTGGGCAAAACAATTGTAATTAAACTTAGGATCGTGGCATTCTTGAAGAAATGGAATGAATGAGTACATAAAATTGCCGATTGCTGTTTCGGCCGCAGATGTTAAAACTGCAAAAGCTCAGCATGGAGAAAAAACAACAACCTTGTCACCAAATCTTTTTCTGCCACCATTGCATCCAATAACAACGTAATTTAACTTGGCATTCTATATTTTTGGGAACTATGTTTCTGTTTTAATGTTTGCATCTTATTTGTGTGGCTTTTAATGCTCCCACTGTATCATTTTGAACCCTGTTTCTGTTGTAATGTTTCTATTCTGCTGCGTGCTTTTATTTCAATGTTTTGTTTTTATTTCAATGCTTTGATTGCAAGCTGCTTTGTGCCCTGCTAGGATCAAGGGGAGCATAAATTAAAAAATGCACACATCTCCTCCTCCTCCTCCTCCTCCTCCTCCTCCTCCTCCTCCTCCTCCTCGCTCCCTTCCTTGCATCTAGAAAGCTAGTCTCTTGGGGAGAAAGCCTCCGATCTTATCTTTTCCTTGCAAGCTCCACACAGATACAGTTTCCAAACCAAATGCGTCAAGGAAGCTGGCCTTGCAAGGAAAAGAGGAGAACAGAGACCTTCTCTCTGAGAGACTAGATTTCTCGGTGCAGGGAAAGGACCCGATATTGTGCAACGGGAGCAAATAGTTGGGGAGTTTCTCACCTGTCAACAACTCCTATCGAGATAGTGGGAGGGGCTGGCTAGCTCTTCCCACAGTCTTCTGGAGTGGCTTTAACCAGGACTCAGACTAGGTGCCAACTAACTTCTCCCACGCTGAGCAAAAACAAAAGCAAAAACAAGGTGGAATGCATCTCCCAGGAAGGAACACAACCGCCACCCATCGCCTTTCCCAAAATTAAAAAAAAAAAAAGGAAAATTAAGAAAAATTAAAGTACTAGCTCAGGACCCAATTCCCACCCACCAGAAGAAAACAGCTGGGCCTTTTACTGGAGAGCGGTGCCCAGATGTTGGGGTCCATTCCAACCTCGAGTGACCCCCCAGGAATGTTTAATGCTTCGTAATCGGAATCTGTGTGTTTGTGTGGGGGGGTTTCCACCAAAACACACTTCTTTGCAGGGGCTTATGACTACAATGGGCCCCCCAAATTTCCGTCCTTAAGCGAGTTTTGCCCCTTTTTACAACAACCTTTCTTGCAGTGAATCCCTGCAGTTGTTAAGTCAGTGACACGGTTGTAAAATGAATCCACTGACTTTGCATGTCCAAAGGTAGCAAACTGTCGTAAGTACAAGTCAGTTGCCAAGCGTCTGATTTTTGATCACGTGACCCTCACTTCAGTGCTGTTGTAACTTGGAATTAGTCACTAAACGGATTGTTTGAAGCCCAGGGCTATCTGGGCTTGTGGAAAAACAGAGATGGACTGTGATATTTTTCTCCCCCCACACACACACCTTTGCTAGTTTTTAAGCATTTTTGCACAGCAAGTAAACTCAGAGTTTGTTCAGAGGAAGGTCTAGGATTTTTTCTAATTAAATTATGATATGGAAAAACGGGTCCGTTTTGCCTATCTGCAGTCAGCTTTGGGAGTTGACCCCAGTTTGTTTGAAGAAATGCAATCGTGGCCTTCCAAAGGTGTCTGGGAACACCACCCTTCTCGAGGGGGGGGGGAAGGGGGGGACAAGCAGACCCAAGTAAAATAAATTTCCAGAAAAATAAGGCTGGAAAAGAAGCAAGCTATCCAAATGACGAACAAATAAGAATCCAATAATAATGAGAATAAAGGAATAATAAGAGTAAGAATCAGCCAACTGTTAGAATGAAGAAACGGAAGTGATGCCAGCCAGCCTCAACTATTTGGAGGGGGGAGAAATGCAGATTTTGGAAAGAAAAGTGAAGGATGTGTGTGTCTCTGTGTGCAAACAGCAACCTGCTTCACAGCCCCCTCCCCCAAATTAAGCTGAATCTCAGCCTCCTCTCCACCAGCCCATTGCTAAATTAAATCAAACTGCCAAAGGTGGGGAGGTTTGCCCCCTTCCCCCTTGCCAATGGTGGAGCAGAAGGGGGGGAGGAGGGGGCTAAGTTAGCCCCTTCCCCAATAAAAAGGTGAGATCAAAGGGAAAGCTGAGCTTCCAATGGAGGAAAGCGAAAAGGGCATTTTGGGGGGGGGCACCTGGGCGGCCTTCAAACAAAGAAGATGCTGAACGCGGGCAACATGGAGCCGAAGCCCCTGGCCCAGCTCTCCTCCCCGCGACCCCCCCCTCCATCCCTCCCTCTTCAGCTCGCCCCACCTCACTGCTTTAACCCCTTCCTTCCCACCAGCAAAGTTTGAGAAACTTTTTTTTTTCAAGGGGAGATGCGCAGCAGGCGGGTGTGTGTGTGTGTGTGTGTGTGTGTGTGTGTAAGAGATGAAAGGGGAGGTGGGAGCTTGAGTTGGGAGGGCTTTTTTGGAAGGGGGGGGAAAGAGATTTTTTTTTTTCTTGCACTTTCTCCCTGCCCTGGGACAAAGGGCTGCCCATCCTCCTGTGGGCAAGGATGTTGGATTATAGGGGGGGGGTCTTAGCAATAGGAGGAGGTGAGGAAGAGGCCTCTCTGGGGTGCAGAGGGCCGAAGGGCTTGCAAGGGCCCCAAGGGGGAAGGATGTTTTTCCCCCTCCACCCCCAGGGAGAGAAGGAAGGAAGAATTAGAGGAAGGAAGGAAGGAAGGAAGGAAGGAAGGAAGAATTAGAGGGAGGAAGGAAGGAAGGAAAGGAAGGATTAGAGAGGGAAAGAGGAAAGGAAGGATTGGAGGAAGGAAGGAAGGAAGGAAGGAAGGAAGGAAGGAAGGAAGGAAAGGAAGGGATTGCGTTGGCTACTGCCGAGCCCTGGGAGGGGAGGATGGGCGAGGGAACCCCGCCGGCGCCCCCTCCCCACGCCCGCCTCCCTCTACCTGGGATTGCTGCCGTTCCAGTGGACGCTGTAGCGGAGGCCCCGCACCTGCCGGCCCAGCAGGGCGCCCCAGAACACGAAGAGCCCCCAAGGCAGCGCCTCCATGGGGCGCATCGCTCCGCCGGGAGGGACGAGGGGGGCGCAGTAGCGGCGGCGGCGGCCGGAGGAGTCGCGGCGGGAGGGGAGAGAAAGCCCGGACGGAGCCCCGCCCCCGCCTCCCCACCTCGCTCCCAACTTTCCGCCAATCAGCAGCCGCGCTCCGGCCCCAAAAGAAAAACAAAACTTTGAGCCAAACTTCGGAGCGAGGATGGAGGCGGGGGGGGAGGAGGGAGGCGGGGGGGGAGTTAACTCTTCGCGGCGCGCTGCGTCCATTCATTCGCAGAGCTAAAAGGGAGGGGGGAGGGGAGGGGGTGGGAGAAGGGGCGGGTGGGGGGTGTCAACATTCCCGCCTGCTCCTGCTCCTCTTCAAGCCATCAGGATGGAGCTGGACCTCGGAGGTCATCTAGCCCAACCCCCTGCTCAAAAGACAAAATGACAGAGCTGGGAGGGACCTTGGAGGTCATCTAGTCCAACCCCCCCTGCTCAAAAGAGAGAATAACAGAGGTGGAAGGGATCTCGGAAGTCATCTAGTCCAACCCCTGCTCAAAAGACAGAATGAGAGCTGGAAGGGACCTCGGAGGTCATCTAGTCCAACACCCCGCTCAAAAGAGAGAATAACAGAGGTGGAAGGGACCTCGGAGGTCATCTAATCTAACCCCCTGCTCAAAAGACAGACTAACAGAGGTGGGAGGGATCTCGGAGGTCATCTAGTCCAACCCCTGCTCAAAAGACGGAATGAGACCTGGAAGGTACCTCGGAGGTCATCTAGTCCAACCCCCTGCTCAAAAGAGAGAATAACAGAGGTGGAAGGGATCTTGGAGGTCATCTTGTCCCACCCCTCTGCTCAAAAGACAGAATTAGAAAGCTGGAAGAGACCTCAGAGGTCATCTAGTCTCAGGGTGTCATTGTTTATTTTATAATTCTATTGTTTTGCTTCTGTTGTCTCTCCTTTCATTTTTCTTTTTTCTTATTGGAAGCTGCCTGGAATAGTCCTTGCGGCGAGATAGACGGCCGATGCATTTTAACCGATAAATAAATCTTTATTTATATCGTTTATCTATGTAGAGTGCCACCTGCTTCCGAGCCGGCCAGGTGTCACCTGCAAGGCGAGGAGTTGCCTAGCTGGATCCGCCAGAGCCTGCAGCTCCAAAGGCAGTCTATCTGGATGAAACCGAATCTCCACATTGTACTGAGGTCTTGTGATATTAGCAAGGGATTCTGAACAAACCCGAAATGGTGGTTTATATTAAGAAAAAGGGGGGAAATTGAGGGTGGGAGCGGGGGGGGGGAACCTTTGAAAAGAAGTGTCTTTGGCTTCATCTTTGATCTGGCTGCTCTTTATCTGCTTCCCACTCCTTTAATAAATCAAATTAATTAAATTAAAGGCAGGGCTTGGGAGAGGAGACGGTGGACCGAGGCGCCATCTAGTGGAGAAATCAGAGATTGAGGAAGGGGAGGAAAAATATAGGGAGCCCTTGACTTACGACTAAAACGAACCCCCCTATTTCTGTCGCTAAGTGAGTTTGGCCCCTTTGGACGACTTTTCTCGCCACGTTCCTTAAGCGAGCCCCTTCGGTTGACACGGTTGCTAAGTCAATCTGGCTTCCCTCTGGACTTGATTTGTCAGAAGGCCGGGACACGGCGACCGTCGTTAAGTAAGAACCAGCTGCCAAGTGGCTGAATTTGGGTCACATGACCATGGGGATGCTGCAACGGAAGAGCCAAAAAAAAACCCGGTCCCAAGTAGCTTTTTTTCCCCCCAGTGCCGTTGTCACTTTGAACCGGCCACTAAACGAACCGTTGTAAATCGAAGACTTCCAATAAACTCTTTCCCTCGCCGAAAAACCGAGAATTTGCCCCCAAATCAAGGGAGTTGCTTTCTTTTTATTAAGAAAAAAAAAACCATGGCCTCCCAGCCATTTCGGTGAATCTATTCCAGTGGAGATGGATCCAATAGCTTTCTTCTCGCACACCTGTGGGTGTGCAACTCCCCTTGCACACGTCCAGAGTTGCACCTCCAGGGGGCGCCACAGAGAGTTCGCCTTGCTAGTGCAAATATATATTTTTTCCCCAGAATTCCCCCAGGAAAAAAATTCGAAGCAGATCAAAATGGTGTCCCTTTAGTCAAGTTAGAACTCCTGACTGCTAGGCCGCAAATTTCCCAGCTATCCAATGTCCATCCCGGACAAGCCGCCATCGCTGTCCCGAGCTTGTGACGGACGGAGGAGGGCGGCGCTCTGCAAAATGTACAGCCGAACTCAGCCAAGCGAGCCACGGGGAAGATGGCGGAGGGTCCTTTCCGCGAGAAGTGACTTGTGCAGCTCGAGGGAGCGAGCCAGGTTATATTTTGCGAGTGTGTCCGGAAGAACCGGCCAGCGTGGGAGGGGGAGGGGGGGCCGGTCTGGAAGAAAAGCAGAGAAAGAAAAGACACAGGTAAGTCCTTAACTTACGACCAAACTGACCCCAAGACATTTATTAAGTGCATTTTCCTCCATTTTACAGCTTTCCATGCCACTGTTGTTAAGTGAGTCGCTGCAGCTATGAAGTTAGTCATACAGTCGTTAAGTGAAACTGGCTGCCCCTTTGTCAGAAGGTTGCAGAAGGGGATTGCCTGACCCTGGGACAGCGGCAACCGTCATGAATATGAGTCAGTTGCCGAGCGTCTGAATTCTGATCACGTGACCACGATCAGGATGTTAAATGTTAAGTGTGAAAGTCGGTTTGCACTGTCCTGTGATCGTGTGAATGTGTCATTTTGTGGGGAAGCCACTATTTCCTTTGGCTCTTTTGCCCAAAATACTACTTACTTCCTATTTTTGGGCTCACCTGGATGGCAACATCTGGACCTCAGGATCACAGCTGGACACGGCACGGGGCGGATCCAAAGGCAACGGCTTCTGGGGAGGAGGGGGTGGCTTGGTGGGGCCAGGGGACTGGGGGGGGAAAAGCCAAAATTGCGTGAACAAAAAGCCCTGAATCAAGGCAGGGCCCACCCCACAAATGTTTCCTTTGCACCATTCTGGGGGACAGAATGTGTCCGTCTTAGTGACTTTCAGAGGGGTGGACTTCAACTCCCAGAATTCCCTTGTGAGTTGAAGGCCATCTTAGAAGGGGGGTAGGGGTACGGTGCCCTGAATATAGGAGGACTTTGAATTCTGGGAGTTGAAGTCCACTTAGCTTAAAACATGCTGGCTGGGGAATTCTGGGAGTTGAAGCCCACTTCTCTTAAAGCAGGCTGGCTGGGGAATTCTGGGAGTTGAAGTCCACAAAGCTTAAAACATGCTGGCTTGGGGATTCTGGGAGTTGAAGTCCAAATATCTTAAATCAAGCTGGCCAGGGGATTCTGGGAGTTGAAGTCCATCCCTCTTAAACGCTACTCTGGCTGTTCTCCCCACTTTTCCATTTGCAAACGGAGTCCCTCTGCCCCCTTCTGCTCCCCCCCCCCCCGGGTCAGTTCATCTCCCTGTCAAAAGGGGTAAACAATTACCTGAATTTTAGGAATGGGGTCAGGAGGCAGCGGGCGTATAGGAGGGCCGGGTCGATCCCCAGCGGAGTCCTGGGCAGAAAATGTTCAGATAGCAAAGAACGACATGCAAGGTTGAAGAGGGGTTATTTTTTTTCCAGAAAGGAGATAAGAAATGATAATTAACTAGGGAGAAACATCAGCTCATAGTTCAGGATCTTCAGGGAAAAAGCAACCAATTTTGTTGCTAGGTTTAATGGACCTTGGACAGGTAATCCTTGACTTATGACGACAGATCCCGATATTTTTGTCACTAAGTGAAACATTCATCGTTTTGCCCCCTTTTACGACCTTCCTGTCCATGTTGTTCAGTGAATCACTTCAGCTGTTAAGTTAGTAAGATGTTCGCAAAAGGGGATCGCGTGACCCCAGGGGACGCTGTGACCCTTGTCAATAGGAATGTCTGAATTTGGATCCCCTGGCCGTGGGGAGGCTGTGACGGTCGTAAGTGTGAAAAACGGTCGCAAGCCACTTTTTCAGTGATGTTGTAACTGCGAACGGCTGCTAAGTAAACCCTCGTAAGTCAAGGACTTCCTGTCTTTTAAATCTTCTGGAAAGAGTGAAACACAAGCAGAGCGGACGCCTGGCGTTGTGAGGATTGCCCATGGTGTCCGCTCACTCCATCTCTTGCTAATCCGGAGTAGGAAAAATGGGTTACCATGTGAAGGAGCGTTTGGGGGAGGTTTCCTGCCTCCTCCTTTCATGCCTATCCATGCAAGGGGGCACATGCCACAGCCTTGAGGAACGTACAGAGAAGATCCCTGTTTCCCTTTCCCTCTCCTGACTCAGTTACCTGTGGATCCTTCGGGATCGGGTCAGGCGGCAGCGGCTTGGAAGGTGGGTCGGGCCGCGGGGCACCCAACGCAACGGGCTGCTGCAGCGAGACGGAGAGAGAGGGAGCGCCCGGGAGGGACGGGAGGAAGAGAAAGAGAAAGAATGGAGAAGAAGCCTAAACATGGGACTGGTGACATGCTGGAGGTTAAGTCAGACGATGCCATGCGTGGTTGGGGGGAACCATGCACCATGCGCCAAGTGGGAAAAGGAGGAAAAGATGGGCAGAAAAAGGAGAGCGACCCAGATTTTACGGGGAAGTCAGGGGTCTTGACCTGTGTCACCCCGTTAATCCTTCCTCGGTTTGACCACTCGGCCACAGATCGCCTGGGGGGGGGTGCCCGTCTAAGAAAGGGCAAACTCTGTCCATGCCCCGTAATGGTGTGTGGGAAAGACCTTGGGTCCAACAGTTAGATAAGAGATTGCTGGCCCCAGAGCTGCCTAACTGACGGAGAAAGGAACTGTCTCTAGTTTATCAGGTTCAGAGACAGCAGGATCTTCTGGTAAAGTTACAATAAAGTAGAATTATCCCAAAGAATTATCCCAAAAATTCTTGATTTTTTTCCTTGAAGATGTTTCGCTCGTCCTCCAAGAAGCTTCTTCGGTTCCGACCGAAGGGTGGGGGAAGTGGAAGGAATTATATTCCTTGCAGTTGTGTCCGCTTCTATTGGCCCCAGTGACTCTCAGGAAGAGCCCTAATGATCAGATGACTGGAAGGAATATACACCCTTCCATGCCCCACCCTTCGGTCAGAACTGGAGAAGCTTCTTGGAGGAGAAGTGAAATGTCTTCCAGGAAAAAAGAAAATAAAGTCTTTTTGAGAGGCAACTGGACCTTGTTGGAGAAGAGATTGCTGCCTAATGGCTAGAGAAAGGAACCCTCTCGAGTTTTTCAGGCTGTAAAAGAGATGGCGGGGGATTCGTAATTTCAGACTTGCAAGCTTCGGCTAAAGTCAGCCCTACAATAAAGTACATTTAGTTCATCTTCGGGGTGAATGGACTTGGGAGACTGGGAAGAGAAACTCCTTAGGGAACTGTTGGATATGAGACAGCTGAGCCCTCGGCTGCATAACAGGCAGAGCAAGAAACTCACAAACTCACATCCCTTGTTTCTCAGACTGTAAAAGAGACAGCGGAAGAATTGTACTTTTAGATTTGCAGCGTTCCAGGTTTTTAGCCCCAGGACTCACACAAAGAGGGGAGGAATCCCCCGTTTTATCCAGCTGCACCCTTCCCACAAAATTCTCCCCCCAAATACAACCCCACAGGGGTTGTAACCAGGCTGCTTTATTCTCCCCTTCGATCTGCAACTTTAGAAAAACGAGTTGCTGCTTTATTCCAAAACTGAAATGAGATCAAACCATCTTCTTCTTTCCAGGTCTTCGATTTCCTTCCTTTTGGGAGACCCCAATTCCTCGATATTAAAATTGGCAGCCCCCAAAACTACAGTGGGGCAAGAGACAGGAGAATCCTCTCTCTCTCTCTCTTTTGCAACGGTTTTTCTTGGTTTTCAGATGGATGCTGCAGCCTTGTAAACATCCTAAATTAACTTTAAATCTTTCCTGGGATTCACGCTGTCCGGTTCTGCGGAAAGCAATATTGGCTTCTTGGGGGGGGAGGGATGAGCAGAAGAAAAAGGGGGGAGCTTTTTAAGCCCCTCCCCATTTACCTTTGAGGGCATAAGCTGAAGGTCCGTGCTTTGTTTCCACTGGGGGCGCCGCGGACGGCTTGGCGGATCTTTGCCGAAACTTCGGGGTTCCAGCTGGGTGATCCTGAAGAATTGGGGTTGACAGGAGACAATTTTAATCCCGGTTTGGCGGGCAAGCTTGAAGGAGATAAAACCCCACCACCTAGAAAATGGGAAACACCCCAAGGCAAGCCATCCACGCTTCCGAGCTGTTTGCGAGTCCGATTCCTGGAAGAGGTTCTGCCAAGCCACAATTTCAAGAGCCATTTTTAAGCCATGATCAAGGAAGCCGCAGCTGGCCAAACTCAGATGAGAGACAAACTCAAAACCCAGCCGAAAAACCATCAGTTCTCTTAGAAAGCAGAGCGGTGTGTCTTGCAGAGGGACAGTCCAGGCAGAAAAAGAGGCTTAAGAGAGCAGAGAGATCACAAGGTGGAGGACTTCGCCACCAGCCACAATTACAAACCACGATTTGCTTACTATCCTAGACGGCATTTTGTTTTTCCCTGCAGAAAGTTTGCTGGACGTTTAGCTCCAGCCTCTAAGATTGCAAAAGTGGGAGGGGAAAAATATGTCAACTATCTGGAGCGATCTGGCCTCAGGAAGGATTTCCAGACAGTCCTCACCTTAACGACCACTTTGGGGGGACCCTAATTTCCATCGCTAAGCAAGCCAGTTATTTGGTAAGCGGCACCTGATTCTACCACCCTTTTTTTCTTTTTTGCCTCATGTGTTAATTGCTGCGGTCATTCAATGGATGAAGGGGTCCTTAAATGAATCCGGCATCCCCCATTGTGGGAAGGTCGTAAAAGGAGATCCCGGGATGCTGCCACCGTCACTAAGATATGCCCGGAGCCATCTGTCCAGTATAGGGTCTCCTGCTTGAGCAGGGGGTTGGACTAGATGACCTCCAAGGGGGTGAATTTCGATCCCAGGTCTGTGGGGGTGTTATAAGTGTGAGGACTGGTTATCAGTCACTAAACAAACCGTCGTAAGTCCGGGACTACTGGCTGAGGCGCCCCAAACAGCACTGTCACCGTTCACAGAGCCAAGACCCAAGCAGCCCACCATTGCTGCAACTGAGGAAGACCCCTCCCCAATCCTTTCACATGCAGAGCGAGGGGCGCGTGTACCCCCAAACCCATACTCCCTCGCACCTTTCGGCTGGGTGAAGGAATTGCACCCGCAACTCTGGCTCAGCCCTAAAGAAGAAGGGTTACAGAGTGAGCGCACAAAAAACAAGGGTTACTTTTTTTCCCCTTAAAGGAGCGCGTCACTCGGTGAGGAGCGAGAATGGGCTTACCTGTACTGGCAACTTGTGCCCTTGCCAAACTGGCAGAGGCGCTTGTGGAGACCCAGCCGTTTGGCACAACAGAGGCCGACCACCAGCAACGCCGCCAGGAGCAGGGAGATCACCACCAGCGCCGTCGAGGCTGCCCGGCTCGCTGGGAAAAGACAAGGCGAGCGAGTGTTAGGCCGTGGCGAGGCTGGACGGCGCATGCCGAACTGCGGGGGCAGCTGGGCATCTCACTAGCACAAAAGAGGCCTTGTGTCCCGTTTCACAAAGGCGGGCCTTTCAGGCACCCTCCGGCGGGTGCCGAGCCCCCGTGGCTGACTTGGAAAAGATGCATTTCCTAAAGTCGTAAATACACCTGGCGATTTCGTTTCTGCTTTCGTCACACGGTGGAAAGAAGTTCCTGGTTTTTACTTTGGATTTCTGAGCTGAGGTTAAGTCCTAGCCGGAGAGGGAGACGATAAATCGATTAAAAAAAAAAATCTAAGAGATTTTTGCATCCGAGCTGAGGATAGGGAAGACGCTGGACCAGGATGATGACATATCATCTATCTATCTATATGTTCTCTCTCTCTCCTTATCTATCCATCCATCTCTCGGTCTCTCTATCTTTATCTAGCTATCTGACTGTATACCATCTATCTGTCTGTCTGTCTACTTGTCTATGTGCCTACATCCATCCATACATCCCACTGTCCGTTCGTCCTTCCGTCTGTCTGTCCCTCCCTGCCTCCATTCTTTCTATATCTATCTATCTATCTATCTATCTATCTATCTATCTATCTATCTATCTATCTATCTATCTATTTATCTTTTCTCTCTCTCCCTTCTCTCCATCCATCCATCCATCCATCCATCCATTCCTATCTATCATCTATCTGTCCATCCATCTACCTATATCCATCTATCCATCCATCCATCCATCTTGCTGTATGTCCCTCCCTCCTCTCTATCTATCTATCTATCTATCTATCTATCTATCTATCTATCTATCTATCTCATCTATATCTATATATCTCATCTATATCTATATATTTCTATATCTATCTATCTATCTATCTATCTATCTATCTATCTCATCTCTATCTATCTATCTATCTATCTATCTATCTATCTATCTATCTATCTATCTATCCTGCCTCTCTCCTCTACCTTCCTACCTTCTCCTCTTCCCTCCCCATCCCATCTTCCTTCTGTATGGTGACTCTTCCGGACCCCACCCGCTGAGGGCTGGGATTGCAATCCCCCCCCCATCCCCTCCTTAATCCGTTAAGATGCTTTGAGTCTTTCCAGGGGGAGGAGGGGCTGTAAATGAGACACCAGCTGATTCTTTTCGTCAGGTAGACCCCCTGATGACCCAGGAGAAAGCTCTCCTTAATGGGAAACTAATGGCTGGGGGAAATTGCTGCAAATTGACACACCTCGCAGGAACAAGTGGCAAGCAAGAAAAAGGCGGCTGGAACAAAGGAAGGGGAGAGCTGGGGGGGGGGAGAAAGGTATGCATGCATTTGCAAATCTGCAATCATTAATAAGTATAAACGACACAATGATCTGCAATCGTTAATATATTTGTGCATTCCTATAACTGCAAACGACACAATCATCTGCAATCGTTAATAAATATATTTGTGTACTCATATCATCACAAACAACACAATTAAGCCCTTACTCTGCGCCCACCCCCACTTGCCTTACCTTCCTGTGGGGCAGGGGGCCCACTGTCCACACTGCCCCCAAGGCCACTGGTCTGGCAATGAGGGGGCGCCCACCCGGGCTCACAATGGCAGTGCCCTTTGTTGTTACAAACCTGCAAGTTGAAAAGAGAAGCCTTAGTTAGCCCAGCCAGGATCAAACTGGTTCTGGGTTTAGAGAGGTCTTTGGGCTGATATCAAACAAGGCGAGTTTCCCACGCTGCCTCCTTCCCTCTTTCTTGCACGTTTCTGGTCCTCAACACTTTCTGTTGAGGACTAGCAACTTCTTGCACAAAAGTTGTGGGGGGGGAGCGGGAGAGAAAAAAATGGTCCAGTGTTTCAGCCTACATTTCTTTTGGTCTTTTGATGTTAGGTAAACAGTTTTTGAAAGAGAGAGAGAGGGGTGTGTGTGTGTGTGTGTGTGTGTGTGTGTATGTGTGAAATATATTTCACTTACCCCATGCCTGCTGCACTGGCATACTGGGAATTTGATGGAGGAAACATCCTGGCATCGTTGGTTGATACAAACCTATAAACAAAAACATGGGTAGTTCTCAACTTACAACTTCATTTCATGACTGTCCCAAGGCAGGGAAGCAATTCTGTCTCCCAAAATCTCGGCCAGAAAAGCCCATTTGAGGCTCGCTCACTTTGTTAGGATCACAACTGGTCCCGGGTGACACCCCAGCCTCGTCCACAACATCAGCAGCAACGACAATCCTAAGAGCATCCCACAGGCAGTTGAACGTCCGGACCGATCCGTTCCGTCTTCTCTCACACTGCAGCTGCCCACACTGGACGTCGCTGTGGGAAAGAAATGGAAACCATTCCTTCATGTTCCTAGTCCTCAGTTTTTTTATTTTAAAATAAATAACTCGGCCCCACCGAGTTAAAATGTCCATTCCTGCCAACGTTCACCGTACATTTCCTAGCCGTAGAGTTTGAATTGCTGCTGCTGTAAATATTGTGTGACCTTTTGTGCAAGTTGCCGTAAATGTGATAAAAGTTTCCAACTATTTATTTTATTTACGGGCAGTCCTCGGTTTACGGCCACAGTTGAGCCGAAAATTTCTGCTGCTAAACGAGACAGTTCTTAAGGAGAGTTTGGCCTTCTGATCCAGAACTATTTTTTTCCCCCGTCGTTTTAGTAAATCAACCTTCGCGGTGTGTGAAAACAACCCACCGTTGTAGGGAAAAAAAGGGAAGCGCTTACCTCTTGGCACAGGGGATGTAGGAACCGTTGGGATGCTGCCCACAATTTCCCCGTGCGTCGCCCCTCTGATTCAGAGACGCCACGCAGCCCTCCAACACGGGAACTGCATCTGGACGAAAAAATTATTATTTTTTTTTTTTAAAAAAAGGGAATTACTGCAAATAAATGCAGGGCTCCCAAGCTGAGCACTTCACAGGCTAAAAGATCAACTAAAATAGGATAAAGTATCATCAGACAGGGTAAATAAAAAACAAACTTTCTAGTGGTTAAGAAAGTGGGAGATGGTGAATTCTAGTTCCACCTTAGGCACGGAAGCTGATTGGGTGACTTTGAGCCAATCACCAGGAGATGGTGAGTTCTAGTCCTGCCTTAGGCACGGAAGCTGATTGGGTGACTTTGAGCCAATCACCAGGAGACGGTGAGTTCTAGTCCTGCCTTAGGCAGGAAAGCTGATTGGGTAACTTTGAGCCAATCACCAGGAGACGGTGAGTTCGAGTCCTGCCTTAGGCACGAAAGCTTATTCTGTGACTTTTGGCCCAATCACTAGGAGACGCTGAGTTCTAGCAGTGAGTTCGAATCAAACACGAACATATCTAATCTACAGCTAGCTCTCAACTATCTCCACCACGTGATTCCCTTAACAACCGCACGATTTGCTTAAACACTGTGACACACACACACACACACACACACATGATCACAAAATCGGGTTGTGACTTGCTCAACCAAGACTTTGGTTTGCCACGGAAACCCTGGTCCCCTTTCTGGACGTAACTCGAGAACTGTGGGTGGATCGAACCTCCGCTTACCGGGACCCCAACGGGCTTGGCACTGGCTGGAGTAAGTGGGGCAGGTCCCCCCATGGCACACGGCTTTGCCGCCTTCGCATAAAGTGCCATCTTGCTTGTAGAGATTTGATGGGCAGTGTGGAGAAGTCCCATCGCAGAATTCCGGGAGATCACATTCGTTCCGGACTGCCCGGCACGTGTGTCCAGCACTGAGCAGCTACACATGGGAGAACGGAACAGGTGGAGTTACCTGTGCAGGTATTCTGAACTTACAACAGTTTGGGTTTAGTGACCGAAGTTACAACACCACTGGAAAAAAAGAGACGGTGCCATTTTTTGCACCTATAACCGATTGCAGTATCCCTGTGATCAAAATTGCTTGGCAACTGGCTTGGACCTGTGACAGTTCTGGTGTTCCTGTCTCAGGTGATCAAAATTCAGAGCCTTGGTGGCTAATTCCTATTTCCTAATTGTTAAAAATTTGCCACTTGAGGTTAGGCAAAACCGGGCAGAGCTGGAAATTTCAAATTTACAAGAGCTTCAGTTGAGGATGGAGAACCAGAACAAAATCTGGGGAACAAACCAACCAGCAGAATCCTGGTTTGTATCGGAAGAGGGCTAAGAACGAAAAGAAGGGGTTTATCCTGCATTTTGGGGGGGTGGCACCTTACCTTGCACTGGTGACAACATGGTTGACCAGTGGCACACTGGGCTCCAGCCACCAATTGACACGTCGTTGCGTTGCAACAAGGGTCTGTACACTCCTGGAGGAAGGAAGGAGGGAAAAAATGGAAAAGGAAATAAAAACTGTAATTTTGAAAAAACAATTGTCCTACAAAGAACGGCTCTAAAGGACTAACTTGACTGCTTTGATTAAAGAAAAGAATACAATTAGTTGTGTTGCCGCTTGGAAACCCCTTCTGGACTTTGTGCTCGAGGTGGGGAAAAAAAGGAACTTTGATTTTTTGGTTTTGCTGATTAGATAGGTGTGTTGTTATAGAAATGACTATAATAATACCTATAATAATACCAATACTACTAATACTGCTAATAATAATACCAATAATAATAACAACAATAACAACAACAAACAACAAAACAACAAGCAACAAACAACAACAACAACAATAATGATAGAGTTGGAAGGGACCTTGGAGGTCTTCTAGTCCAACCCCTGCTCAGGGGGTTTGTTAAAACTCATTTAACAAATGTCCCCCTTAGCAGCAGAAAATTCCCACTGAGCCTAGAGGGGCCTCTTAGGACGGAGAAGGAGAATGCCAAATGGAATGGAGTCTCTGTTTTAGGGACTGGCTGGCACAAAACAGAACACCCCATTTCTGCTGGCATAAATGAAACAAATAAAGGCAACCATGCCACCTCAACACAACAAGGATAAGCGAGAAAGAGCTTGTTGTCTTTTGTCCTTCCTTACCAAAAAAAGGCCGCAATCACACTGCTCTCCAGATTCTACCAGGCGGTTCCCGCAGTGGGACTTCACCATGCGGGCTGGTTCGGGCTGGTCGAGGAGGCAGCTAACCTGGTTTCCCTGGAGGATTTGCTGGAAACGTTGTTGGCTGCAGGTGCTGAAACTTAACCCGGGCATAATCCTAGCGAAGGAAAGAAAGATTTTTCAGGACAATCCTGATTTTCCAGGCATGGGAAACGAGGTGGAGGGGTGTGGATCTTTGCTTGGCTGTTCAGAGTTTATTTGAGTCTTTGAAGAGAGGGTCTATTTATTTTCCTCAGCACCAGAAAGGCAGACAAGAAACAACGGGTGGGAACTCATCAAGGAGAGAAGCAACTTAGAACGAAGGAGAAATTCCCTGAGAGCTCAAATAATTCATCAGTGGAACTACTTGCCTCCAGAAGTTGTGGGTGCTCCATCACTGCATCACTGGAGGCTTTTAAAAAGAGATTGGACAGCCATTTGTCTGAAATGGCATAGGATTTCCTGCCTGAGCTGGGGGTTGGACTAGAAGATCTCCAAGATCCCTTCCAATTCTCTTACCCTGCTATCCTTCCTTCCTTCCTTCCTTCCTTCCTTCCTTCCTTCCTTCCTTCCTTCCTTCCTTCTCTCCCTCCCTCCCTCCCTCCCTCCTTCCTCCCTCCATTCATTCATTCATTCATTCATTCCATCACTGGAGGCTTTTAAGAAGCGACTGGACTGCCATTTGTCTGAAATGGAGATAGGGTCTCCTGCTTGAACAGGGGTTGGACTAGAAGACCTCTAAGTTCCCTTCCAACTAGGTTATTCTATTCTTTGCTTCCAGCCATCCAGGAAGTTTCAAATCACTCCGGAAAAAAAAAAACAGCGAGAAGTTCTCCAGCTCCCTGAAAACAAAGTAGAAAAACGGAAGCCTACTCAGCTGGCCCGGAGGTGTTTTCGCTCACCCTGTTGGTGCTTCCATGATGCACTTCCGGCTTGGGGGACGGATGGAAGTGTTGCAGCCACAGGCGTCGCTGTCGTGGGCGAGACCGAGATTGTGGCCGAGTTGATGTGAAAGAGTGGAAGCCATGATTAAAGAACTAACGGAATGGCCCTAGAGGAAAACAAACCAGGGTTCGGGAAAGGGAACTGCACCGATCCAGCCCCATAAAAACAAGCCTGTTCTGAACTTAGAGGCTCTTAAGCCCTTGTCTTATAATAATTCATTTAGCGACCGTTCAAAGTCAAAACCAGCACTAATAAGTGACTTACAGCCGATCCTCGCACTTACGACCATCACAGCATCCCCACACCCACATAGTCGTAAATCAGAAGCCAGTGAGGAAGGCCGTAAGTGGTGATCACACCACCCTGTGACCCCATGATTGTCATAAATTCTGCTCTATTCTATTCTATTCCATTCCATTCCATTCTATTTCTATTCTATTTTCTATTCTATTCTATTTTCTATTCTATTCTATTCTATTCTATTCTATTCTATTCTATTCTATTCTATTCTATTCTATTCTATTCTATTCTTTAACCAGATTTATTGAAAGACAAGAAGAATGAATTGACAGCAATCTTGTCAAGAGGAGATGCTCATTTTAGATTATTTTTTTCAATTTATCTTTCCTAGTGGGGGATCTTTGATCCTCTTGCTAAACACCTGTTGATGCTCCGGGGGAAAAATTTGCAAGCTTTTGTCGGCGTTCGCAGCCTGAGAAGCCCCTTCCACTCACCATGCTGACTCCACCGGAGCGCTTAGAGCAGATGGACCCTTGGGTGGACGCGCCAATGACGCCGGCGGGAAACGGAGGACCACTACAGGCGAAAAGGAAGCAGAGGAAGTTTGCACGAATTAATGCAAAAAATTAAAGTTCAGAGTTGTTTGGTTTTGCAGGAATCCTGCTAAAATAATTTTAAATGAATTGGAGGCTAAACCCCTTTGAGGGGAGGAGCCCTAATGAGAATTTGGGGCTTGGTGGGAGGGGTTACCCCCCATTTAACACACCGGGGAACCCCCCCCATTTGAGAATCTCAGTGTAGCAAGGGAGGAGATAGGAGGGGAAGGACTACTCAGTAGCTCCTCCCCCTGGCTTTGTAACAACCCCCCTCTGCATGGCTCCACCCCCCCCAGCTTCAGGGTTCTGACCCAAGTGGCTAGTCCCTTTGAAGGACTTGTTTATACTCTCTCTCTCTCTCTCTCTCTCTCTCTCTCTCTCTGCATTGAGTTAATTAAAAAATATTTAAAAAAAAAACAACCAAGCTGCTAGTCCTCTTGCTGATCTAAGATCCAGGCTGCACCTGATGTCTTACACGATGAGCTGAACTCTCTCTCTCTCTCTTTGTATCGAGTTAATTAAAACATTAAAACAACAATAACAAAAAACAACAACAACCAAGCTGCTAGTCCTCTTGCTGATCTAAGATCCCGGCTACCCCTGACACCTTACACAATGAGCTGAACGTTGTCGTGCGGAATCCGGGGCAGCAAATCTTTCTCTCTCCACTCAAGGAACCGCTGGAGAATCTCTTTTGCGGTTCCATTTGTCGGCACACGGTTACCGTTATTCCAGACTTCGGCGCCCACCAGAGCCACCCGCAGACCCAGCAGCCTGTAGAACTGGAACAACAGCAGCAACAACGACAAAAACAGATTTTTGCACAGAGTAACAAATTAAGAAATCATTGTAACTGTGGATATTTTTTGTTCCTGGGGGGGTTAACTGGTCTTTATAAAATCGGTATCCCAACAATATGATGACATCTAGCCGAATAATTGCTCCAATTTCGGGGGGGGGGAAAGGGAATGTTGGAATCGCAGCTCACCCCGTCCATGTGGCTGGCGATTTCGAAGATCCGCGTTCGAATCCTGTTGAGGTTCGAGTTCAGCTTGAACTTCAAGGCAGAAAGATTGGTGTTAGCAGTGGGATAAGCGTGGGATCCAAAGGGAGTTTTCAGGGAGGGATAAGTACATCTGTGGGATTCCTGAGGCTTTGGAGGGAATCAAAACTTGTGTCTACGGTGAGAAGGTGGGGCGAGCTGAGGGGGGGGGGAAGAAGAGCTTACTCGCTGAGATCTAGCAACATGAGGTTTCAGTTTACACTAGCTATCCCCTCAATTCACTGCTTGCCATTTTTTTTCCTGCAAATTTTTGCTGGAGATGACTTGATCAGCCTGCAAAAAAAAAAATGGTTGTGGGGGCAAATTGGGGAGGGGGGAGACAGTCCTCACCTCAGCCTGGTCCACCACGATCACCAGCTCCACATAACCACGTTCGGCCTCTGCTTCTCGCTTCACCTGGGAGGAACAATGGAGCAGTGAGAAAGAGGAGACCCAAGTGCTGGGTTCGAGACCAAGCTGGAGAAAATCGAACAGACGCACAGGTGAAAATGAATAAAGAACTAAAACTAGAGCTAAAAAGACTCCCAATTTTTCCCGTTTTAAGGCTAAATACAGACAGTTCATTTAGTGACCGTTCAAAGTTACAACGGCACTGAAAAAAAGGGGACTTAGGACCGCTTGCCACAATTAATGACCGTTTTCCTCTATCCTCCCCATCAGTTTTTGTCAAGTCTTTTCAGATGATTTGGTCCTGGGCAAAAAGTCCCTGTTATCTCTGATTGAACACAGTTCCCACTGGAAAGTTTGGGGGCTAAAAGGTTTCTAAGGATCATCGTGGTCCGCGGAAACCTCTGGAACGAAATGCAGATTTTTTTAATTTGAAGGCTGGATGGTCAGTCCTAGTAATTTAGCCCTACCCGTTTCAGCGGTGTCCTCTTTGACTGCAGTTGTGGGTGAAATTGTCTGCAAATCCCGGTCACCGGTTTCATTCCTTGGAGTCTGTAGGCCCTCGTCTGCCCATCTGGGCTAGACTCCAAGCTGTAGCTTCTAAACTGGGAGACGGTAAGGAGACCACTGGGTGATCAGAGAAAAGAGAAAGAAGGAGGCATGTTTTAAAGTGCAATATTTTGGATTTCTTTGGCGTAGAGCAGGGAGGTAAGGCAACCTCGGCTCTTTTATGACTCATGGACCTCAACTCCTCAGAAAAGCAAAGGAGAAAGTGAAAGTGAAAGCAACAGGAAGGGGGGGAAAAGGGAGAATAAAATGAAAGCGATAATGAGAAAGGGAAAGGGAAAGCAAAAGATGAAGAAGTAAAGGGAAGCATAAAACGAAAGTGAAAATGGGACAGGGATGGGAGGAAGGAGAAATTGAAAGCGAAAGCAAAGGGTGAGGAAGTAAAGGGAAGGATAAAATGAAAGTGAAAATGAACTGGGAGGAGAGGGAGGAGAAAGTGAAAATAGAAGGGGAGGAGAGTTCAATTCCGCCCCAAATTTTGCCCATTCTTACCTTAAACCCGAGCAAACACAGATGCTGGCCCAAGAGTCGGGGTACCCCTGAATGCGACCCCAATAGCAGCAGTTGCTCTAAAAGAAAACCCAAAACAAAACAATCAACAGCTTAAATCTTGATTCAGCTGCAACAGACCATCCAATTCCTCTTTTGCAAAGACACCTAAATACACACAAGCCAGGGTTTAATTTAGGGAATCCAGGCTTGTTCAAGGCCAGACAGAGTGAGTGGATAAGCCAAGGTTTGACCACCAGATCTGCTAAAGGCTACCTCTCCTATCAGAATCTGTAGGGTACCCAAACCCATTTTTGAGGCATCCTAATGGGACATTTAATGTCAAAGTAGCTACTATAGATACATTCAACAAACAGACCATATTTTGGCTGTTAAGACAACTAAATGGAACCTCCAGTTCTAGAAACAGTCTACCTCTGGACTGCGTTTCACTGAATGCTGATATGTAGCATATGAAACTGATAAAATAAACCTGGTTCTTACCTCCGGCTTGTTTGGATGCACTGTTCTTGTCCCATTTGGCAGATAATAGGTTAACTCTGAGCTGCCCATCATCAGCTCCCTGCGAAGGAAGAATAAGCCAACATTGAATGGAAATGCTGCAACAGCAAGCCTGCTATGTTGGCTTTTGCTCCGCTGGGCTTCTCCAGATCTGTTCCCGTTTCCGGCATGCTGCGAGGAAAGCTCACAGCAGAGAAAGGCGCTTTTTTAAATACCGCTTTTATCTCCTTCAAACTCTTCTTCCAGGGCGTTTAAGAGAGACTGCTCCTGCCTAAGGAAGCTCTACTGAACGCTCAGGGCTGGAGTGTCTCCATTGCATTGGTGTCTTAGGCCTCCTGTGGCTTTCTCTTTTTTTATGCAAATGTTCTGTGTTTTTTTTAAAATCAAACCTGAAATTTATATTTGCATCTAGAACCCCAGAATCAGAGGGTCCCTTGAGGTCATCAAGTCCAACCCCCAGCTCAGGGCAGGTCTCCCCATTCAAGCACCTCCAATCACTTTGATTTTAAGTTTTTTTTTTTTTTTTTGCTTTAGGAGCGACAGGCTGACCTTCTCTAGGGCAAATAGGATTGGGGGGGCCCTTCCAAGTGGGGAGACCCCAACCCCCAGACTCTGGGACACCCCCCTGCCAACTCACCGATTCTGTGCCAAATCCAAACGCAGGCGTTCCCCTTCAATCTCAAAAACAAGTCGCAGCTGAGCAGGGAAACTGTGGGAACCTTAAAAAGAAGAGATTTGGGGGGGGGGGAGGAATAAGGATTGGGAGAGACCCCGATTTTGGAGCAGGGAGCTTGGGGGTCCACGCAGGCCCACCACCCCTGAAGGAAGCTGCCTTCAGGACGTTAAGCCCCCTCCCCTTGGGGTGGGGTCTCCGCCAGCATCTGCAGAAGGTGTCTGCCACATACCCTTCCCCACCCCACCCAGGGTTTTCCTGCCCTGCACAAATGGACGGAAATGCTTCGGAGACACCCAGCATCCGTGCCACGGGTGGGGGCACACCGTGGGGGGGGGTGAGGCAGAGGAGATGAGCTCATCTAACCGGCTAAACCGGCAGCTGCCAAAACAGGCGTGTGATTTATGCCTTGTCTCGTCTCTTTCACAAATTGGGGAAGGGGGGGGCGCCTTACCGATGCGATCCTCGGCGTGACCGGCCATCAGCAACGGGCATCGCTCATGTCGCGAGTCGGGGGCATCTGCAAAGGTTAAAAAGTGTTGGGGTTTTTGGGGGGGGAGTGGGGTGGTGGTGGTCTTCTCCTGTCCCCCTCCCAGAAGTTGGATGCCTCCTCCATGGGGAGTCAGATATGAATCTGTGCCCCCTTCTCCCCCCCCCCAGAAGTACATTCTCGCAGACCCCTTGTGCAATTTGATTTGATTTTGGGGAAATCTAGATCAGGCTGAGCCATTTTAAGAGGGGTGCACTTCAACTCCCAGAATTCCCCTTTTTTCACCCTCAACGACCGTGGCAGCGTCCCCTGTGGTCACGTGATCAAAATTCAACCGCTTGGCCACTGACTCGTATTTATGATGGTCTCGGCTTCCGGGTATCACAGGATTCCCCTTTTTAGATCCATCAACCAAAATCAATGGGCAGGCCGGATTCACACTTAACAATTGTGTGATTGCTAAGTTAACAAACGCAACGCTTTGCTTAACGACCGCGGCGAGAAAGGTCGTAACGCGGGGCAAAACTCCCTTCCGCAAATGCCTCACTCAACAACATAAATTTTGGGTTGTGGTCATAAGTCAAGGACCCCCTGTACAGTTTTGAGTTTTTGAGGACGAAATAAAAATCACAGATCTCCAATCCCAGGTCCATTTTTTTCCCCCTCGGTTAAAAACTGCCACACATCGGCTATTGGTGGATAGGAAAGGCAAAAGACACTCATGGGAGTTCAGGCAAGGACTTTGGAAGTGCTGGAAGACCTTGCGAGGTCATCTAGTCTGACCCCCTGCTTCTGCTGGGTGAGGAAAATCGGAGCCTCATCCCCTTCGGGAAGCTGCCTCCGCCGTTGACCTGTTTTTATTCCTACTCCACCCCCAAAAACCTCTTTATTTCTGTAATTTTGACCCATTTCTAAGCCCGAGTCACCCCTTTTTCTTCTCTCACCCGCCAGCAAACCCCAATCAATCCAAGATCTCCCTTTGGGCAGGGGGGGGGTCAGACGAAGACCTCCAGGGTGCCTTCCATCTCTCTTATTCTGTTATATCTGTTCTAAAACTTGCTCAAACGTTTGACAGGAGTGGGCACCCCTTCGCTACTCCTCGGACAGGCCCGGCGCTCTCTGCACATGCTCAGAGACCCGGGAACCTCGTCTGTCCTTCTGAGTTGTGCGCCGGAGAAACCGGGGCAGAAAACAGCACCAGACTTTGCCCACCATCCCGACACCCCCCCATCCGCTTCCTCGCCTCCGAGCGAGCTATCAGGGAGGGGGGGGGAAAAGCTTTTCCCACGACCCCGACGCCCCCCACTCCACCCCGGCCCGGCCCGATTCCGTGCCTCCGGGCATGCCCTCCGTAGCCCATCAGGCGCAGCCAAACGGACAGCAGGATGGCGCAAGCTGCTGCGATCCTCTTTCCCATCCAAGGTGCAGCCTGGCTCTTTCCCCCTCGCGGGGGTCTCCCCTCGGCCCGGGGTCTCACCTGCTGCGCGCCCCGGGCCGGCCACGCATCTCCACGAAGGCAGCAGCAGCAGCAACAGCGCGACTTCCCTCCAGAGCGCCATGCCCGGTCAGCGCCCCTCCACGCGCGTTGCGCACCGCGCAGGGTCTCCCCGGGGGTCGCCGGCCTGGCCAGGAGAGCCGGGAAGGGGGCGCTGCGTGCCGGGCTGCGCCTGGGTCGCTCTCCGGAGCAGAAGGCGGCTCTTGAGCCCTGGCGGCCGCCTCTTCCTCCTCCTCCTGCTCCTCCTGCGCTCCGCCTCGCATTTCAACGCCGCCGCCGCCGCGGCACAAGCAGCTGCTGGGCCCGCCCGAGAAGGGGAACTTCCTGCCGGCCGCCCTTCCCGGGCCTCCGCCCGCCGCTTGCGCCGCTAGCCCGGCCCCTGCCCCGCGCTCGCCCACCCACCCACCCGCTCGCCCGCCTTGCCAAGTCCCCGAGGGGCGCGCCCGGCCCGGGACAGAAGCAGAGGGGAGAGCCCTCGCCTTCCGCTGCTGTGCGCGCGTCGCAGCAGCTGGAAGAGGGGCAGGGAGGGGGGAGGGAGAGAGGGGGTTTCCCTGCTCCGCTGGCGCGGGTGGGAGGGGGCTGCGATCGGGGGAGGGGAGGGTCCTGGCGGAGAAGAGGGGAGGGGAGGGGAGGGGAGGGAGAGATTGGCGTTGCGTCCTACGCTGCGTCCTTGGAGCGCCTGGTTGATTGGGGGGGACCCCCGTTGGAAGGCTGAAAGGGAGAGGGTGTGTGTGGGGGGTCCTGGCCAAGACGGAGAGATTGTCAAGGTCGGGGGGGGGGGTTCCATGGGTCTTTCAAAAGCAGAGTCAGATGGTATAGGAGGTCTTCCTGCTTGAGCAGGGGGCTGGACTAGAAGACCTCCAAGGTCCCTTCCAGATTCTATTCTATTCTACTCTATTGTATTCTATTCCATTCCATTCCATTCTTTCTGAATTCTATTCTATTCTATTCTATATTCTATTCTATTCTTCTGTTCTATATTCTATATTCTATTCTATCCTTCCTTTCTTCCTTTTTCTCTTTCCTTCCTTCCTTCTTTTCCTTCCTTCCTTCTTTCCCTCCCTCCCTCTTTTCCCTTCCCCTCTATTCCTTTCTTCCCTGCCTCCTCTTTTCCTGCCTTAGAGGCTTGGAATTAACAGAATAGCAGACTTGGAAGGGACCTCGGAGGTCATCTAGTCCAACCCCCTGCTCAGGCAGGAAACCCTATACCACTTCAGACAAGTGGCTGTCCGGTCTCTTCTTTAAAACTTCATAATTACTTAAAATGCAGGCCATGCTGATTTAGTGACTATAGTGAGGACTAGCGCCTTGATTCTTAAGCAAAGCTAAGTGTGAGCCAGGACTGTGCTTAGGGTCTGATTTCAGCTTTGCTTGACAGAGCCATGAAGGTCATTCAAGCGAGGACTGGGTCGCAAAGTGAAATTTTCAACATCGTTGCGACTACAATGATGCAGCCGCTCTCCGAGGCGGACGCTAAACGGGGACTACCTGTTCCAAATATATATATATATATATATAAACAACCGTTTAATACAAAAGGCAGGAAAAAACACCACCATTTAATCGGCGTAGCCCGTTTCTCCCTCGCTGCTCTCGTCCTCCGAGACCAGGTCCTCGGGGTGGCAGGCAAAGCAGGTTTTACCCATGTCTTTCCAGCAAATTTGGCAGTAAACGGTTTCGCACTCGGGGTTCGAGCACATCAGCGAATGGTGGGATTCGGGCCGGTTGCAAAGAATGCACCGCCGGAGGAGGATCCGTTTCAGGAAGGGACAGCAGCGCCCGATCCGATTCAGCAGCGGCTTCCTCTGAAAGGGAGACAAATTCGAGCTCCAAATTCACTCTTAATTTTCCCCCCAAAAGAAGATTTGAGATGGGAAGGCAATGGGCACCTCCGAAAGAGGTTTATGAAGTGGAGCAAGGTCTCCTGCTGGAGCCGGGGTGGACTAAAAGACCTCCAAGCTCCCTTCCAGCTTCTACTCTATTTTCTATTCTATGTTCTATGTTCTATATTCTATATTCTGTTCTATATTCTAATTCTATTCTATTCTATATTCTATTCTATTCTATATTCTATTCTATTCTATATTCTATATCTAATTCTGTATTCTAATTCTGTATTCTAATTCTATATTCTAATTCTATTCTATTTTCTTTTCTATTCTATTCCATTTTCTATTCTATTCTATTTTCTATTCTATTCTATTCTATATTCTATTCTATTCTATTCTATATTCTAATTCTATTCTATTCTATTCTATTCTATTCTACACAGATAATCCTAAATTTACAACAGTTTATTTAGTGACCATTCAAAGTTACAACGGGGTTGATAAAAGTGACCTAGGACCCTTTTTCAAACTTATGACCGTGGCCGCATCTCCCGTGGTCAACGTGATCCAAATTCAGACGCTTGTCAACTGACTCATATTTATGACGGTCACAGTGCCCTGCGGTCATGTGACCCCCTTTCACGAGCTTTGGACGAGCAACATCAGTGAGGGAAGCCTGTCTCCCTTAACAGCAGGGTGACCCACTTAGCAACTTAGCAGTGACTCACTTAGCAACTGTGGCAGGATCAGTCATAAAACGGGGCAAAACTCTCTGAAGGACAGAAACGTCAGGCTCAATTGTCGTAAATTGAGGATTCTTCTACAGCTGGACCAGTCCCAAAAGGAGGCTGACTGTGAGAATCGGCAACGGCTGTCCAATCAACCTGATTTGGCAATGAGGGCAGCGGCTTGGATGGGCACGAAAACCCACCCTGCGGAGGGAGGGAGACACCCATCGGAGGCTAACAGGAAGCTTTGAAGGTCCCGGGGCTGCCCAAGGGTGGAGGGACCCAAAGGAGAAAGGAAGGAAAACACTGCTTGCCAGCTAACAGGGCGGGGTGGGGAGTTCGAATGCCGCTCCGTGCTGGAAGCCGAGCTCCACGTGCCAAAAATATTTGCAGAAGCAGAAATTCAGCCGGAAATAGCTGGGCAGAAGGTCAGCAGGTCTGGCTCAGCAGCCTAGAAGCATCAGTCAAGGCTGTCAGACCAAGGGCAGGACATCCTCAACTTACGACCGTGGTTCAGCCCAAAGTTTCCGTTGCTAAGTGAGACATTTGCTATGTTCTGCCCCCTTTTACGACCTTCCTTGCCCCCAATGGTTCAGCGAATCGCTTACAAAAAACCGGCGCTTCTTCTAGGGCTGGTTTCCTCAGGCGGCCTACCTCGAAGGGCTGGCGTGCTCACTCACCACTCTCTTGCGCCTCCGCGCTTGCAGAATGATGCGCTTGCGTTGCACAAGGACGAAAGCCACACGCCGACGAAGCATTTCATTGTAGAGGTAGATAATTCGTTTCTTCTCACGCTGTCGGAAAGGGGGGAAAAATAAGGATCCGATCACCCGCCGGCCAGGGGATTCTGGGAGTTGTAGTCCACCCGTGCTGGCTGGGGGGATTCTGGGAGTTGAACTCTGCCCTTCTTATAGCTCAAAGACATAGAGGATCCAGAAGACACCAACTGATGCATTTCTGTAACCTCAAATCCCACCACTGCTGTTGCACCAGCATCCCATCCTTTTGGAGTGTCCCCTTCACCTTTTTTTTGGGGGGGGGGCTTTGCATTGATCGAGGGGCAAACACGGGAGAGATGGACCCTGGTCAATTCCCCCCCACCTTGGGGAAGTAGAAGGCCGCGATGACCCTCCGCAGACGGAAAACGTAGACTTGCAGGAAGCATAACACCACCAAGGCGCCTAGTGGGGTGGCGCATTTCACGTACTCGTCCCGGCTCATCCCTCGTGGCTCTGGCAAACACTCTGGGGGGGCAGGACAAAGTAAAAAGGGAGGTCTGGGATCCTGGCTTTCTGCTTCTGGCCGGGCTGAGATCCTTCAGACAAGGAATACAAACTAGACCCGCCCAATCACGGTCACCAAACATTGTTGGTTTCTCAATCTTGGGCATTTTAAGATAGGTGGAACTCCCAGAATTCCCCAGCTAGGAGTCGGAGTTTACTGTGCTAGCTGTGGGGTTCTGGGAGTTGTAGTTCACCTGTGCTGGCTGCAGGATTCTGGAAGTTGTAGTCCACCTGTGCTGGCTGGAGGATTCTGGGAGTTGAAGTCCATCCATCTTAAAACTGCCCAGGTGGTAGAGCCTCCAGCAGCAGAGGAAGTCCAGCAGCAAAATGCAGGTGTCAAACAGCTGTCCATAAGCCCACCCTCGAAACGTTTGATTGGCTGAGCAGAAGCCGTCCCCTCCCACCCCTCTGGGGCCAAGCGCCCCCTTGCCCCCCCACTTACGCAGGTTGTTGGTCTCCATCACCATTTCGGAGGACGTGTTCAGGGCCCCGATGGTGCTCCGAAGGAGACGGGCCATCAGGGTTTCCCCGCCAACCTTGACTTCCAAGTGGTGGCTGCCTGTGGGGAAGGTTTGGTTAAGCCATTTTTTGGTTAAACCATGGTTTCTCAACCTGGGCAGCTTGGAGAAATGAAAGGGAGACCCAGACAGGTTCAAAGTCATCCCTAATGGGGGGGATTTGAACTCGGGTTTCCCAGAGCTTAGCTTGGCACTTGGTAACACTGGAGGGACTGGGCAGACACTTGTCTGAAATGGGATAGGGTTTCCTGCCTGAGCAGGGGGTCAGACTAGAAGACCTCCAAGGTCCCTCCCCACTCTGTTATTCTGTTATCCTTCCCTCCTTCCTTCCTTCCTTCCTTCCTTCCTTCCTTCCTTCCTTCCTTCCTTCCTTCTCCCTGGAGGTTTTCAAGAAGAAATTGTCCAATTATTTGTCTGAGCAGGGGGTTGGACTAGATGACCCCCGAGGTCCCTCCCAACTCTGTCCTTCTGCTACGGTTTCCCCACGGAGGTCAATTCACTTCATGAAATGAACCGCCCAATAGAGTCACTCCGGTATGGTTTCTCCTCTGTTCAGGGACTGAGGGCTGGGCCATTGTGGGCGGGGAGGGATGGAGGAGAACCACCTGCCGCCCTTCCGGACCCGGGTGCGGATCCATCCGGGCGGGGTGGAGGTGGAAGGTCGCTTCTCACTGCGGAAGGAATACTGGATGAAGGAGTGGTTCCGGATGGTGCTGAAGATGGTGTAGAGCAGGGAATCCAGGGCACAGGCCATCAGCAGGAAGACCAGTGGGGGCAGGCAGCCCAGCAGCTCCAGCATCTGGGGGGGGGGATGTGAGGGGAGAGGTGGGTAAGGTAGGGTGAAGGAGGGAGGGAGGGAGGGAGGGAAGGAAGGAAGGAAGGAAGGAGGGGGAGAAGAAAGAAAGAAAAAGAAAGGATGGAAAGGGAAGGAAGGAAAAAGGAAAGTGGGGGAAGGAGAGAGGGAGGGAAGGAAGGATTAGAGGGGAAGAGGACAGGAAAGAAGGAAGGAAGGGGAAGAAGAAAGAAAGGGAAAGAGAGGATGGAAGGAAGGAAGGAAGGAAAAAGGGAAGGGAGGGAAGGAAGGATTAGAGGGGAAGAGGACAGGAAGAAAGGAAAAAGGGAAGGGAGGCAAGGAGGGAGGGAGGCAAGAAGGATTAGGGGAAGGGAGAAGGAAGGAAGGAAGGAAGGAAGGAAAGAAGGAAGGAAGAAAGGAAAAATCAGTCAGCTGAGATCTGAAATTACGAAGAGGGAGAACGAAGGCAGAGGGAGATCTGGCTGTCAGTGAATATCAGGTTGACATTGCCCTCAACCGTAGGGCCGTCACTCTGAGACCCCCACCCACTTTGCCAGTCTCCCCTTGCCCTCTCCCCGCCTCCCCCCAGCTGCCCTCTGCCCCCCCCCCTCGCTTGCACTGACCACAGACTTGGTCTCGGCCGGCTGGAAGGCCAGGCGCAGGGGCTCGATGACCCGGCTCTCCTCCGCACGGCGCAGGGGAAGAAGCGTCCGCTTTTTCTGCACGTTCGGGGAGGAAAAAAACGGGACACGGGAGCCTCCCCTGTGGCTGAACTACAAAACCCAGTGGCCTCAGCCGGCTTCCCCAGCAGGGAACGATGCCGGAGCCTCTCATTGAGCAACCTCTGCACCGGAGACTTCAAGATAGACTGCTGCTGGTGCTGGAAGTTCCATTAGCCATGATGGCTAAGGGAAACATCCCTCTGACACACCCACCTAAGGGCCCTGGGACTCCTTCCCACCTAAGGTTTCTCCCCCCACCATCCCCACCCCAGTTTCTTTCGTACTAGCTCACCTGTTTCCGGCGTCTGGCATCAATTTGCCGGAAATAACGGGAGATATACAGGTTATCGAAACGGATATCTTCGTTATATTTGTTGGTATAGGAATAAGCCCTTGGGAAGAGAAAGAGAGGTGTCCAGAAACTTTTCTCAGCAAGGAGGATAGATAGAAAGAAAGAAAGAAAGAAAGAAAGAAAGAAAGAAAGAAAGAAAGAGAAAAGAAAAGAATAGAATAGAATAGAGCAGAACAGAATAGAATAGAATAGAATAGAATAGAATAGAATAGAATAGAATAGAATAGAATAGAAGCTGGTAGGGTCATTGGAGGTCTTCTAGTCCAGCCCCCTGCTCGTGCAGGAGAACCTATACCATCTCAGACAAGTGACTGTCTAGCCTCTTCTTAAAAACCTCCAGGGATGGAGCGCCCATGATTTCTGGTGGCAAGCTGTTCCACTGCTTAATTGTCCTCACTGTCAGGAAGTTTCTCCTTAATTCCAGGTTGCTTCTCTCAAGGAAGGAAGAAAGGAAGGAGATGGATGGATAGATAGGGAAGGAAGGGGAGAGAAAAGGAAGGAAGGAGACCTGGTAGGAAAGGAAGGAGATGGATGGATAGATAGGGAAGGAAGGAAGGGAAAAGGAAGGGAGGGAGGAAGGAAGGAAGGGCGGTAGGGAGGGAGGAAGGAAGGAAGGAAGGAAGGAAGGAAGGAAGGAAGGAAGGAAGGAAGGTGGGTCACTAAATAAACTGCTCAAAGCCAAGGACCAGCTGTAGGGGATGGATGGGGGAGCCCCACAGGTGAGTTGAGAGAGGTCTCTTGTCTCTTTCCCACGCTTGAATAGACTCCTTCTACACGCAGGTCACAGCCCCCCTTCCCCTGCCCTAGCCCCCACCTTCTAAGACGCCCCCCCAACTCACGAGGCAAAAACCAGGATAAACATGCAGGACAGCAGCACCCGCAGCATGGTGACCGCCGTGCCCAGCTGTTTGCTGCTCTGGTACACCTGTTCATTGACGTCGTCCACCAGGTGTTTGTGGGAGGACAGGTTGGCCCCCACCAGCATCTCCTGGCGCTCCTCCTGGGGGGAAAGGAGGAAGGAGGACTCAGCTACAGGCAGTCCTCGCCTCAACGGCCACATTGGTCGCTAAGTGAGACACTTGGGGGACTTTTGACCCATTGCGGGACCTTTCCTGCCGCCGTTCTGAAGGGGATCCCTGCAGTTGTTAAGTTAGTAACCTGGTTGTTAAGCGAATCAGGTTTCCCCATTGTCAGAAGGGAATCACGTGATCCCCGTCATAAGTGCGAGTCAGTTGCCAAGCATCCGAATTTTGATCACAGGACCGTGTGGAAAACAGCCTGAAGTCGCTTTTTTAAGGCTGTCATAATTTCGGAACGGTCACTAAACGAAACAGCTGTAAGGTGGGTGAGATACCCCCAGGCGTTGCTCAGAGCGGCTGAAGCCGACATCAACCCCTCCGAACAGACCTGGATGACAACGCTGGCTGTGAAATCTTGGTTTAAGTTTTCCACCGAGTCGTTCACCCGGTCGTACGTTTGGCCAAAATTCCCTTCCACGGGGATCTTGTCCTGGCACCAAGTATTCATTACTGCAGAAGAGAGGGAAGACGGGTGAAGAGATCAAGCAAGCGAGCCGAGTTGCAAATATATATATTTTTTTCAAGGGGGTGGGTGAGTCTGTACCACTTCACAGGACCGGGAGGGGGGGAGAGGAGTAAACAGAATGGATTTCCCCTAACCCTAACCCCCATTTCCAATGTCCTTGCAGGAAGAAAGCTAGTGTTTCAAGGTGAAGGAATCCTGACAAGTCTTTCCTTGCAAGGCTAACTTTCTACCTGCGGGGAAGACACTCACTCACCCTTGGCCAAATAGCAAAGGAAGCTGAATTTCATGGGGAGGCAGAGGAGGTGATTCACCAGGGGCACGGCGATTGTCTGCATGCAAGACCGATGTTTGGTTTGGAACCAGGCTCGGCAACGCCGGACTGCCTGCTGGATGATGCCTGGAAGAAAAGAGGAATTCCCACATTTGCGCAAGAATTTGAGGGTCTCCAAGCCAGCGCGGGAGGTTTGGAAAAAAACCATTCCCTTCGCACCTCCAGATCAATTGGAAAATTCAATTTTTCAATGAGGAATATGGGTTGTACAGATTTCAAATTACAGATGCTTTTTTCGGGGGGGGGGAAATCACAATCAAGAGAGGGAGGGGGGATTGGCACCCCCCCTTCTGATGTGAGGGGCTGCCCCAAAGAAGAGGAGGAGGAGGCGTCAAGCTCTTCTCCAAAGCTCCAGAAGGCAGGAGAAGAAGCAACGGATGGAAACTCGTCAAGGAGAGAAGCAACTTAGAACTAAGGAGGAATTTCCTGAACGAGTGAGAACAATTAATCAGTGGAACTGCTTGCCTCCAGAAGTTGTGGGTGCTCCATCACTGGAGGTTTTTAAGAAGAGATTGGTATGAAATGGTATGGTGGGCAGGGGGTTGGACTAGAAGACCTCTAAGGCCCCTTTCAGCTCTATTGTCCTTCCTACCTACCTTCCTTCCTTCCTTCCTTTTTTCTCTTTCTTTCTTTCTTTCTTTCTTTCTTTCTTTCTTTCTTTCTTTCTTTTTCTTTCTTTCTCCTTCCTTCCTTCCTTCCTTCCTTTCTTCCCCTTCCTTCCTTCCTTCCTTTTTTCTCTTTCTTTCTTTCTTTCTTTCTTTCTTTCTTTCTTTCTTTCTTTCTCCTTCCTTCCTTCCTTCCTTCCTTCCTTCCTTCCTTCCTTCTTCCTGCATGGCTTTAAACATCTGGATTTCAACTCCCAGAATTCCCCAGCTGGCTGGCTGAGGACTTCTGGGAGTTGAAGTCCACAAGTCTTAAAGGGGCCAGTTTTGGAGACCCCCTTCTCTAGGGCTTGAAATCTCAGCTTAAACGCAGTTTAAAGGCAGTTTCTGGCTGCTCTTCGCTTCTTACGTTGGCAACGCATCCGCGTCTTCGCCTCGTAGACTTCCTGGGTCGAGGCGCTTCCTTCGGCTTCACGCACCAAACGGCTCTCCGTGCCGGCTCGGCTAGCCACTTGCTTGTTCAGCTCCGTAAAGGAGCGCGAGACCTCTTGGGACTCGGTTCTCAAAGTTTTCCCGCTTCTCTGTGTGGGAAATAGCAATAAGGGCCAAGCGGAAGGCCTAAAACCACTCATGTGACTTCATGAGGACTAGAAACCTATTCTGGGGAGATCTTTCTCTTTGCCTTGGCTCTTCGTACTACCAGGGTTTGACACAACCATAGTCTAAGCCAGTGTTTCTAAACCTTGGCAAAACTTTAAGACAGGGTGGACTTCAGTTCACCATAGTGGCTGGGGAATTCTGGGAATTGAAGTCCACCCATCTTAAATTGCTAAGGTTGAGATATAGTGCTAAACCATGCAGATTTAAAGGAGGTATTATTTGACCCACCAAGCATGCTGGGCAGATAAGCAAAAATCAAGATGTCAATTCTTTTATGTATCCTTTTAGCATAAAAAAGGGCAATTAATATTGACAAAGATTTTTAATTAATCCATGCACTAAGCTGAGCCTCGGAAGAGCATTTTAATAGCAGACACAACTCCCAAAACGCACCACCAGGCAGCTAAATGGGCACCGACGGATTTGCTACGATGTCGTTTTGAAATTTAAACATTAACAGCAAGGGATGGAAACGGCATTAAGACCCCTTCATTCAATTACCACTCCCCAGCCTTTTCACAAAAGATCCCTGAAGAGGGCTAGCTACTTGGCAAGTGTCAGCCCTGTGTTATTCTCACCACCATGTCTTTGAGGATCTTCCGCATCGGAGCCAATGAAATTTTCCAAGCTTTTTTGGCGTTTTCAATCTGTAATTCCACCGTGCAGCTAATGGATCGCACCACTTCACCCAGATTGTGACGGATATTTGCCACCGGGCCTGCCAAAGGGGACAGTGGGAAAAATTAAAAAAAAAAAGATTATCGAGTAGGGGGATCAGCTGTTCCAAATTTCCCAAGTGAAGGGCAGAAAAGGGGCTAGTCCACATTGGCAACTGAAGCTTAAAAGAGGGCGGGGGAAAGTTGCAATGACGCTATTTTCAAAAGTGAGGAAATGCTGCCCTCTGATGGCTGATCGTGGAACTATGCCCCCAAAACGGAGATACAATATTAAAATGCCAAAGCGGGAGTTTAATGCTGCCCCCTAATAGCTCAATGCTGCAATTGCCGCTTAAAGTGAACGCTCATAAAAATACTATATTTCTTTTTTCTAGAACCGAGTTATCTTTTTGTGACTGCGTCTCTATTTATATAATCTGACATTTGCCTTGAGAGGTACAATCTCAGAGGGAGATGCATTTGGCTGGATAAATGGTCTTCGGCGTTTAATGTGGAAATTTTCTTCCCTGTTTTTTATCCGTTTCCCAGGAGAAAAACAACAACAACAAAAATTAATATATAACACTGATTCTGATCAGGGTGTCTGGGCAGCAAATCCATCTTAAAGCACTTCTTTCCATCATTTAAGAATGAAGCTGGGTGACTTTGGGCCAATCACCAGGAGACGGTGAGTTCTAATCCTGACTTACGCATAAAGCTGGCTGGGTGACTTTGGGCCAATCACCAGGCGACAGTGAGTTCTAGTCCCACCTTAGACATGAAAACCGACTGGGTGACCTTCGTTTAGTCCCTTTCTCTTTCAGCCCAACCCACCTTGCAGGGCCATTGTTGAAGGAGGGAAAACAGGAGGAGGAGGAAGATTTAGGTCTGTTTGCAGCTCTGAATTATTTAAAAAAACCCATAAAGGCAGGGGATACCAACAAATAAAATGAATAAAAATCTCGGTACCATCGTAGACAGCGGCTAACATGTAGGTGAGAATATAAAGCCGTCCTTCCTTCCCCAAGAATTTTGGGATCACCAAGAGGCTGGCACAACGGAATTGCGGAGAGGTGCCCCATCCAACGGCAGCCACACCTGGGGAAAAGAGGGCACAGCACAAAGATAATAATAATAATAGAGTTGGAAAGGACCTTGGAGGTCATCTAGTCCAGCCCCTGTTCAGGCAGGAAAGCCTATCCCATTTCAGACAAACGGCTGTCCAGTCTCTTCTTAAAAACTTCCCGTGTTGGAGCATCCACCGCTTCTGGAGGCAGGTTGTTCCACTGGTTAACTGATCTAATTTCTCCTTAGTTCTAGGTTGCTTCTCTCCATCCATCGAAAGATCCAGCTTTTGATTTTATTTTATTTTTATTTTTTTATTGATTTTTGATTTACAACAATCCTGCCCACTCCTGTAATGGGCCACAAATGAGTTAAAACATGATTGTAATTGACAGTTTTTACCTGTCATGCAGCCCAACAATTCGACTTTGGTGTGTTCCCTGATGGTCATGGGAAAGATCAGGATTTTGGCGAGACCTGGAGAACAAGAATTTTAGATTTTAAGAAAGATCCTTTGGGGTGGGGGCAAAGACAGCAGGTATCCAATTTTATTTATTTTTTCCCCCCAGCAACCCAAACCTCAAAATGATTCTTTTCCGAGCCAGATTCTCCAAGTATTCTTTAACAAGATTTATTCAGAGTCCCAGCAATTGAGTGATTCTATAGATTTCACTCTGTTTCCATTTTTTTTTCTTTTGTATTTTCTCTCCCAACTCTCCCGGATGACGTGACTTACTCAAAGCAAACAAAATCCCAAGTCCAGCCCCGAGAAAAAACTTGGTAGGCCGAAATTCATCAGGTTGACTCCACAGGAAGTGAACGAAGCTTTTGGGTAGGAAAAAGCCGAGGAAGTGCTTCAGGGCTGTGCAGAAAAAACGAAAGTCACCATCAGCGTGCAAATGAAAAACCTTATTTAAAAGGTATCCGGGTTCTCTTTACGCTGGAGATTAGATGCCTTTTCGAGCAGGATGTGAAATACTGTCTATATTGTTGGAAGAAAAGTCTTCATCGGGGTTCAGTCCAAGCCGGGAATAAACAACATGGCGACTGCTTTAGAAAGAAGGTTGCAGTTTATTGGAGAAGAGAGCCAGACAGGAAGATGGCTCTGAAAGAAAAGAGAGAGAGAGCCCATGCAGGGAGTGGGTGTTTATACCCTCTGGAGCCTTTTGTTTGGAGTTGTTTCACTTTGAGAGCGGGCAACTAAATTTCATTTTTGATGTGAGCTGTTGTGCCCACAGTAAAAAAATGACAATAATATCTTATCTTATCTTATCTTATCTTATCTTATCTTATCTTGTCTTGTCTTGTCTTGTCTTGTCTCCTGTTTCTGTGGCATGAACTTTGACCTGAGTCTGTGTGTGCTCTTTTGGTATCTGTGGGTTAATCCTATTATGTCCTGTCTTGGATGGGGTATGTAGATTTTAGGTCTTTGGCTTCTTAATCTTCTAGCTGGGGGCTTCCAACCTTCCTGGATTATTTACATCTGCATTTCTACAGAGCTGGTTTTTGCTTGGGGGAGGGAGACTTGGGGCTATTAAGAAAAACTGAGCATGCTTTTCTGCCTCTTTGAGATCCTTTGAGGAAATATATTTCTCTGCCTTTTTAATATGTCCTTCTTTAGGGGGGCTGATTTCCCACAATATCTATCTATCTATCTATCTATCTATCTATCTATCTATCTATCTATCTATCTATCTATCTATCTCTATCTTGTAAATCAAGGATATGTATATTCATGTTATTGTTATCAAATGTATTGATAAATACAGTTCATAGTGTCAGATTATTAGCTGTATTAATCATACTATTATTACATTGATATTATTATTCCCGGGGTAGAACATTTGCAAATCATGTGGCAGAAAGGCACAAACAGCAGGCTAAGACACCACTGAAAAGCAATATTTTCAATTTTAAAGAAAACACCATCATAATCTTGGTTATGATGTGTTAGGGACGGAAGCCATAATTGGTCTGCAAAAGATCACATTCATAGGTAACTATCAATGTCTGCAATCACCATCTTTCGTTTCCGTCTGACCCGCCAAAGGATGGATCTGCTACTCAATGTTCTCTTGAGGACTAGAACCATGGAGGAGGCAATCTTCCCTGCTTATTTTAAATCTGGTCTGTGAAATGATATATATATATTCCCCCCTCCCCCTGGACTCACTCGTGTTGGGTGACTTGAAATGTTTCCTTTTCTGCCCTTTGAGCTTTTGATATTTGCCTCCCATAATCTGACCACTGGGTGGGTGGACCGACCGATCCGAAGCCGCTGCCCAGGCACAAATGGTCACCTTCAAAATGGAGCTGAATTCTAGAAAAACGGATAAGTTCCGGCAAGGTCATGATTAGAAGGCTGACATCACAGAAGCAACACAAACGAGGCTGTTCTATGTTACTTGAAGCTATAGTCATGCAAGGGGCTGCTTTATCAAAAATCCGTCCATCTCCCTGCAGAGAGAAAGCTAGTAGGGAAGGAGCTGCTACATTTCAGCATGCGAGGTGTTGGTGACTTTTATTTGTTGAATGGTGCACCTTCCACTGGGGAAGACCTCCCCTCCCACTCCACCCATTGCACGGTTCCGAGAAAATTGAGCCATCCAAACCCAACTTCTGTGTGGCCAGGTGGAATGAATGTGGAGTGGGCACCACCTGGAGATCTACCTCTTCTCCCATCGCTTTCTCCAAGCTGCAAAGAGTTGATTAATCTAGATGAAATTGAGTTGATTAAGTGGACGTTGGGCACCACAAGGTCCAGATTTGGGGCACAGGGGACCAAAGGAAGCCCGAAGTGGAAGAAGCGAAGGTAGAAAAGGAGTGGAGCCTAGTGGCAAGCTAGCAGGTGATAGGAGGAGCCAAGGAGGGCTGTGGGTGGGGCTAAAAGCAGAGCTGAGAAAGACCTCTGGTGAGGGGGCAGAGCCAGAACAAATATGGGCGGGGCTAAGGACCCTGAGAAAAACCAATCTAGCAACCGGTGGGTGGAGTCAATGCAAAACAGAGGCAGATTAAGGGGTGGGGCTACGAAGCTGATAGAATCTGACCTTAACTGGCATTTCCAACTGCCAATGACAACCTGGTTTTGCCAGGTGGGTAGGGAAATCGCCCTCTTCCCGCCGCTTTCGAATCTTCACCCTTTCTCCAACCCATCTAGGTAGCCTCTGGGTGCCTCTCGGCTCCTTTCGAGAGCTCGACAGGGCCCTCAGCCAAGCCGCCATGAGCTTCTGGCCGACTCTCTTTCTCCCGTGGCTGAGAAAGGGACGGAAGAAAGGAAAGAAGAAAAAAGAGGTTGCGCGGATTCAAGAGGACACTTTTGGCCGGGCTACGGTCCGTAGTCTGGGGGGCTTCGGCCTGGGGATGACCCTCTCCACAGCCTATGGGGCCCTGGTCATTTTTGGCCAAGGCTACAGTATCTGGTACTGCCTGCTGTCCACCATCACCCTGGCCCTGGCCCTCGGCCTCGGCATGGCGTTCTCCTTCAAAGTCCGGGTGACCGTCCTGCTGATGCTGCCTCAATTTTTTTCGAGTAAGTGCCCTTTGCACCCCAAGCCCCCCCAAGAGGAAATACAGGCTGTCCTCCACTTATGACCAGAATTGACCCCCAAATTTCCACTGCTAAGAGAGACGGTTGAATTTCGCCCCGTTTTACCACCTTTCATGCCACCGTCGTTAAATGAATCCCTCTAGCTGTTACGTTAATGACCCGGTTGTTAAGTGAATCTGACTTGGCTCATCAGGAGGTCACAAAAGGGGGAAATCACGTGACCCTGGGACACTGCGACCGTCATAAATACTAGTCTGAATTTTGATCACGTGAATCACACGGATGCTGCAGCGGTCACAAGTGTGAAAAATGGTCCTAAGTCCTCTTTTTTCAGTGCGTTGTAACTTTGAACGGTGACTGAATGGACTGTTGTAAGTCGAGGACTACAACAGGACTGTCATTAAAAAGAAAAGAAAAAAATTAAAGGCTTCTTTGCTGAAGGAGCAAGGCCGGGACACTAACTTCCCAATCTGACGAGAATCCAGCATTGGAACTCTCTGAATGACATCTTTGGAGAAAGCAAGAAAATTTGGACGCCATATTGGGGTAGAAAGATGGTGGGAGGTTTCACAATAATGCCTGAAAGTTTGCAGAACCCTAGAATAAGACACTGGGGGGGCTGATTTGTGGGAGGTGGTGTCCCCTATTCCCTTTGAGTGGCCGTTTCAGGGGTCACGGAAGGTTGCGGGGGGCACATGTGAATCCAGAATGGACTCAACTCCGCAACGTTTTGCTTATTTCTCTCTTACGACAGAAGAGGGCAAGATGGTCCTCATACTCCTAGCGTTTGGAATGGCTATGGAAGGACCCTTTGCCAACATTGTCCGGAATTTCAACCGGAGCGCTGACACCGTCTCGTGTGGAGCCGAGCTGGCCCTCAACCAGACGGCAGAAATGCTGCAACGAGCTCGCGAACCTCTGATCAGTGAGAGAATCTGCACGGCTGAATGAATGTAGAATAGAATAGAATGTAGACTATAGAATGTGGAATAAGGAATGTGGAAAAGAATGCAGAATAGAATAGAATGTAGAATGTAGGGTGTGGAATAGAATGTAGAATGTAGAATGTTGAATGTAGAATAAAATGTAGAATATAGAGTACAGAGAGAATAAAGAGTATAGAATCTAGAATGGAATATAGAATATAGAATTCTATTCTATTCCATTCCATTCCATTCTAGAATTGCTGGGAGCTATGAACTCTACTGCAGAGAACATAGCGTGCGGGATGTGCCGATGTCCAGGAAACACCTCTTTGATTTCCCAGGAATGATCTTGCCTTTGCACAGTGAGGTGTCCCAAGAAGGCAACACGCTCAGCACCTGTCCCCTTCCCTCTCCTCTTCTGCCTAGATGCCTTAAAGAAAATCAAGGATATTGCCAGGAAGGCCAAAGTGGTTGGAGACCGTGTCCGAAAACTTTTCCGGTCTGTCATGGATGCGGTGCGGCACGTGGGTGAGTGCTGGAAGATTGACAAGTGAAAAAAAAAAAAAAGAAGACGAAAAGGGATTTCCAAAAGGGATTTCCGAGTGGCTGCGATTCCTTTCGCGGTGGCAGGAAAAGTCATCCGGTGGGGCAAACCAATCAGTGTACCAATGTTCCACTTAGCCGCGTCAATCCCGGGCTCGGTATGGGCTGTTTCCTGTCTTGCAGCTCACTGCATGCGCAACGTTTGGTACTTCCTTCTTCACATGGGTGAGGTGTGCAACGAAGAGATGGGCAGGCCGTATCAGAAATGTGCCCGCATCTTTGACAACGCGAAGGACCAGTGTGAACGCGCCATTCCTTTCCTCTCCTTCCTGTGCCACGTCGTCCTTCTCTTCAAGTACCTCTGCGGACTGGCTAACAGTGAGCTCCCTTCCTAGATTTGGGCTCTCTGGGATCAGAGAGGACGCAGTTACTTCCCAAAAGATCGGAACCAAATTATAAGGTAGTCCTTGACTAGTGGCTAAGCAATCTGGTTGTTGTTAAATGAGCCATCTCATCACCGTGCCCGATTTTACTGGCTGCAGAGGGAATTTTGGCTCCTATGTGTTGCTCAGAGTTGAAATGGGGGCAGGTCCTTGGGGGTCTCTGAGCTGGGTGGTTTTCTTGCAGATGTTTCATGACCCAACTAGGTAACATCATCAGTGCTCGGAGGGATAGGGGTTTATGGGGAGAAGGAGGAGGGCTACGACTATGGGGTCCTTGGTGCTCTATGAGCTGGGTGGTTTTCCAGCAGACATTTCATGACTCAACTGGGTAGGAGAGAGGGAGGGAGGGATGGAGGGATGGATGGAGGGAGGAAGGAAGGAAGAAAGGAGGAGGAGGAGGAGAAGGAGGAGGAGGAGGAGAAGAAGGAGGAGGAGGAGGAGGAGGAGAGCTGTGGGATCCTTGGTGCTCTCTGAGCATGATGGTTCTCTTGCTGACGTTTCATTACCAAACTAGGGAACATCATCAGTGCTACTAGCACTGCAAGAAAAAAGCAAGGTCAGAGAGCACCAAGGATCCCATAGTTATCCTCCTCCTCTTCCTCCTCCTAGCACTGATGACGTTACCTAGTTTGGGTAACAAAACATCTGCAAGAAAACCACCAAGCTCAGAGAATTTTGGCTGTTCTTGAGCGATCTGCCTTCACCACATCATACCAGCCACGCTGCCCTCTGGTTCTTCTCATTCCTTCCACAGTCCTCCTGGTTTTCTGCATCATACCGGAGTACATAGTGCCGTTTTTGCGTCGCAAGGTTGCAGAACGTAAGTCCAGAGGATCATCGTCTCTCCCTTTCAGTCTCGGCATTCTCCCTCTTGTATGTATCCCCGCCCTCTTTAGGCTCCACCCACTCTTCTTACAGGCCCCACCCTCCTACCTGGGAGGATAGGTGGCCCTTGAAAGGAAGGGGGGAAAAAAGGATTTTTCAGCCATTCCAGAGATTTTTTAAACTCTCTCTCTCTCTCTCCCACTCCAAGCTGTTGTGGCCATGCTCAATCGGGTGCGAGCCGAGTTCGAATTCAACATCACCACCATCCACCAGTACGAGGTGAACGTCAACGCCAGCAAGAAGCTGTCGCAGGTGGCCTTTGACATCATGGAGGAAGTGTCCGAGCGTCTGCAACCGGCGCGGGAAGCTGTGGGACTCTTTGGTTACATGTCTACGCTGGTCATGCTCTACATGTACCTCGGGTGAGCTGGGAAGGGGAGGAGTGCAGAATAACAGAATCGGACGGGACCGTGGAGGTGTTCTAGTCCAACCCTCTGCTCAAGCAGGAAACCCTATCCCATTCTGGACCAATGGCTGTCCAGTCTCTTCTTAAAAACTTCCAGTGGTGGAGCACCCACAACTTCTGAAGGCAAATTGTTCCATTGATTAATTGTCCTCACTATCAGGAAGTTTCTCCTTAGTTCCAGGTTGCTTCTCTCCTTGATTAGTTTCCATCCGTTGCTTCTTGTCCTGCCTTCTGTTGCTTTGGAGAAGAGCTTGACTGCCTCTTCTTTGGGGCAGCCCTTCAAATATAACAACAATGCTATCACATCACCCTTGGTCCTTTCCCCCCATTAAACTAGACATCTCCAATTCCTGCAACCGTTCTTCATATGTTTTAGTCTCCAATCCTCTATAGGATGCGAGCAGGGGATCCTGCTGGGGACGATGGGCCCCAGAGCTGAAGCAAGGGGAAGTTTGACCTTGCTGGTATGGGTCTTCTTTCCCCCCACGAGGAATTCTTCACTTCTCCAGGGCTCTCTTGTACCGGAAACATTATCTACACGAGGATAGTTTTGACAACATCTACATCACCAACTCCTTTCTCGAAATGGACGCTGTTCGGAGGAAAAGCAAGCGCCCGTCCGTTCTGCCTTTATCGCCGAAGGAAAGCGCCAAATTCATCCGGCCAGGTACGTGTTGTGCGATTGTCGTTGTGTCTCAGACGTGTGGAGGTCACAAACTACAGGGGGTCCTCGGCTTGGGACCGCATCTGAGCCCAAAATTTACGTGGCTAAGCAAGACAGCCGTTCAGTCCATTTTGTCTCATTTTTTTTACCATCTTTCCTGCCACGGTTGTTAAAAGAATCACTGCACGTTGTGACGTTAGCAACACGGCTGGATTCCCCGTTCACTTTGCTTCTCAGAAGGTCGCAAAAGGGGATCGCCTGGCACCCCCCCCCGGGATGCTGCGACCGTCATAAATGCGAGTCAGCGACTGAGCATCTGAATTTGATCACGTGATGCTGCAACAGCCGTGGGAAAAATAACCTTTAATCTTTATAACCGTTATTGTCGGTTTTTTCCCCCTGTGGGCACGATGGCACCCATTAAAAATGAAATTTAGTTGCTTCCTCTCAAAGTGTACACACGTACATCACACACAAATAAAGCATACTATTTAAAACCTATGCTCCTAAGTCCCTTTTTTCAGGGCCGTTGTCACGAAACGAACTTTGTTGTAAGTGGAGGACTGCCTGTATTTGAAAGCCGAGGGATCCATTTAGCAAACAATGAGAATGAGGGGGTTTTTTTGCGTTGTTACGCAGCCTCCCTGGTGTTGCCGCGCAAGGAGCAGATTGCCTATGCTCTGGCCTTGGTCTCGATCTGTCGCCAGTTTATCCTGGTGATTTTGCTGATTCTGGCCGATTTCTTTGTCTACTGGCTGTTCGACTTGGTGCGCTACCATCTGGTGGGCGAAATCGTGGCTAGAGGTAAGGCGGAGGGGCTGGAGGAGGAGGAGGAGGAGGAGGAGGAGGAGGAGGAGGAGGAGGAGGAGGAAGGGCATTGTGCGTTCTGGACTCCATCAGGGTGCACGCTTCTGTGGTTTGGGGTCGGTGGCAGCTTTTTCTCTGCTCGGCCTACCTGGTAGGATTGTTGTAGGGAAGGAAAAGTGGGAGAGGAAGGAAGGAAGGAAGGAAGGAAGGAAGGAAGGAAGGAAGGAAGGAAGGAAGGAAGGAAGGGGAGTGGGAAGAAAGGAAAGGGAGGAAGGAAGAGGAAAGCAAAGCAAAGTGACAGTAAGAGGGGAAGGAGGGAGAAAGGATTAAAGAGGAAGGGGATAGAGATGAAGGAAAAAGAAAGGGAAGGGGAAAGAGGGGAGAGGAAAGTGAAAGTAAAAGTAAGAGAGGAGGATGGAGGGAGGGAGGAAGATTAGAGGAGAAGGGGAGAGAGGAAGAAAGGAAAGGAAAAGAAAGGAAAAGAAGACAAATAGGAGGAAAGGAAAGGACTCCAAGAAAAAAAACCCTCCAAACTCCCCATGCTCTATGATCCCAAAATGAGAGAGGTCACCCTATTTTCTTTCTCTGCAGCTCCGGTGTCGACCACTATCGGTGTGAACGGCTCCGGCTACACCAGTGAACTCTACCGCGACTTGGTCTCCGCCTTCGACGTGCTTCAGGAGGGGAATATCAGCGTGGTGTCCCCAAAATGCCGTCTGCTGCCATCGGAGCCCGACTACGACGGTTACCTTGTGATCGGTAGCTGGACTTCAGGAATTGCTTCCCTTCCTGCTCCCCGAGGAAGAAACCCTGCCAGTTTCACTGAATTTCCTTCTCCGTCTTCAATGAAACTGACCGGATCCTCTGCCTGTACTGGTTGTTTCCCCCAAGAGATTTTTTTTTTTAAAAAAAAAAATTTAAAGTAGAAAGTGGGGATGGGAAGAACGAGACAGCTTTAAAAGAGAGACTTTACAGATAGTCCTCGACTTACAAAAGTTCATTTAGCGACTGTTCAAAGTTACGACGGTCCTGGAAAAAAGGTCTTAGGGCTGTTTTTCCCACTGACGACTATTGCACATCCCGATAGTCACAGATGCTTGGCAACAGGCTCACATTTATGACGGTTGCAGTGGCCCCGGGGTCACATAATCCCCATTTTGCAACCTTCTGACAAACAAAGTCAAATTTAATTTACAATGGTGTTACTAACTTAACAACTCTGGGACAGAGTTGGAAGCAAGATGGGGAACAAGAGAGGAAGTTTGGCTAAAAGTTAGGAAAATATCTTAAATAGGTTGGCCAAACCTCAAAGGCATTGTATCTTCAGCTGGCTTTATGCCGGAAAGGAGCAAGGGATATTTTTTCCTCGCTCTTACGACCTTTGTAGCATCCCACCGTCCCGTGATGAGAATTTGGGCATCCGACAACCAACCTGTATTTACGATGGTTGTGGCATCCCAGGATCACATGATCCCCCCTTTGCGATCCTCCCAGCCTGCTTCCGGCAAACCAAGTCAATGGGTTTGTTTAACGACGGCCTGATTTGCTGAACAACTTAACCATGATCCACTTAACGAGGTCATCAAAGGGGGCAAAATTCACTGAAAAAAATGTCTCACTGAACAATGGAAATTTGGGGCGGTCGTAAGTCAAGGACCGCCGGTAGAAAGAGAGGGATTTAAAAGAGCAAGGCTTTGGGGATTATGTGAAAAGCCGGAGTTGACGGTTGGACGTGACTGCGTGACTTATAGTGCGAAGGGGATCAATGGAAATGTTTCTTATCTGCGCCAGGCAGAGAGGCAGGCATTAAAAAGCAGGAAAGTCTTTAATTTGGGAATGGTGCTTCCGTTCAAATGTGAACAGGCTCCCTTTGGAAGCTCTAAAAAGTCCTTTAAAAATGACAAATGTGCCGTTTTCACGCACTCCAGCAGCACAATTTGCTGAGTTTAAAACCCCCTTGGTGAACACTTTTCACAGAAGTGGGGCGACTATAATAAGACGCAGCAGCCAGGCATGGAACGAGACACCATAATCCATCATTCTCAGCAGGGGAGAGGAAATGTATCAATCATGCCCCGCCGTCATCAAATTCTTCGGGCAGCCAAGAAGAATACGCCGAGGATGTCAACCCGGCGAAATTGTTGAATCACGACCGTGTTTAGGATCTTGATCTCCCGTCGCTAAGTTGTTAAGCGAGTTGCCCCAATTTTATGACCCTTTTTTGCCACGGTTCTTAAGCGCATCACTGCCATTGTTAAGTGGATCAGGCCGTCATTAAACAAACCCATTGACTTGGCTGGTCGGAAGCCGGCTGGGAAGATTGCAAAGGAGGGATGGTGTGTCCCTGGGATGCCAAAACCGTCGTAAATACATGTCGGTTGATGGGTGCCTGAATTCTGATCACGGGACGGTGGGATGCTACGACGGTCGTAAGAGCGAGGACAAACCCCTTGCTTTGTCCCAGCATAAAGCCGGCTGAAGATACAGCGCCTTGGATGTTTGGCCAAACTATTTAAGATATTTTCCCTTTTAGCCAAACTTCCTATCCCCTCTCTTGCTTCCAATCCGGTCCCAACTGAAGCCTGTTTCCCCTGCCATAATGACAACCGCAGAATTATCAAGTTGGAAGGGCCCTTAGAGGTCATCTATTCCAACCCCCTGCTCGAGACACAGAATGCATGTTCACCTGCCTTTTTCATGTCTCCCTCTTCCCCAGGTCTCATGTACGGGATCTGTTTATTCAGCGCCATCTTTGGCACGTACATACAACGTATGCGGCGAGTTCTCTGTGCGTGGTATTATCCTTCTCGGGAACGGGTGAGTTGTCCCCGCTTTTCCCCTCTCCTGTGGCCCACCTCGCAATCAGGAAGGTGGTGTTTTATTTTTGCGCAAGCTACAGAAAAGGGCAAACTTGAATTAAAGTGGCCGCTGACTCTTCAAAGCCAGCTGCAAACCCACGCAACCAAGAGTTGCATCACGTATCATGTTTGCAACCGGCAGTCTCTGAGGTTTGAAAAAAATGAAACTTTTCCCCCCAAAATTTAGGAGCGGATCTGTTACCTCTACAATACGATTTTGACTCGAAGGACCAAGCTTATGAGCGCCGTGCTTAAGGCTGTACGGCAAAATTCTGCAGATGAAGGCCATCAAAATATTTTACTCGTCTTTGCGTCGAAGTAAGACATTTACCAGGGCAGTCATACATAATTCTGTAAATAGAATAGAATAGAATAGAATATAGAATAGAATAGAATAGAATAGAATAGAATAGAATAGAATAGAATAGAATAGAATAGAATAGAATAGAACTGGAAGGGACCTTGGAGGTCTTCTAGTCCAACCCCCTGCTCAAGCAGGAGAACCTATACTGTCTCAGACAGGTGATTGTCTAGCCTCTTCTTAAAAACCTCCAGTGATTTCTGGTGGCAAGCTGTTCCACTGGTTAATTGTCTCCCACTGGTTAATTGTCTTCACTGTCAGGAAGTTTCTCCTTAATTCCAGGTTGCTTCTCTCTTTGATCAGTTTCCAACCATTGTTTCTCATCCTGCCCTCTGATGCTTTGGTGAACAATGTGATCTTCTCTTCTTTGGGGCAACCCCTCAAATACTGGGACACCACTATCCTGCCTTCCCTATTTCCTCTTTTCTTTCGACTAGCCAAACCCAAGTCCCGCAGCCGTTCTTCGTATGTTTTAGTCTCCAGGCCTTGGATCATCTTAGTTGCTCTTCTCTGAATTTTTTCACACTCTCTCAAACGCCCGTCCTTGCCCTCCGTTGCAGATTCCGCCTGTGTCGGTGGTTGGTCAAGAAGTTGGGGGTCCATGAAGCATACTGCATGGGCTGCGGAAAAATCCAGAGAGGGGTTGACAGCGAGGACTTTGTGACGTGCATCACACCAGCGTGCCGAGGTGTGGAAGTAAATGAGCCAAGGGAGAATGACAGCAGAGGAGGGAAATAAGAGCCAGTAAAGAACCGATTGGTAAAAGATTTGGAAGAGACCCTGGAGGTCTTCTAGTCCAACCCTCTGCTCAGACAGGGAACCCTACACCGTTAGAGGCAAATGGTAAACGTGATCAGCCACAAAGCTATTTTTTTTACATCGTTGTAACTTCTAGGGTTGCTAGACAAGGCAGGCGGTAAGCAAGGACTACCCTGTACATGTCTTGAATATGGGGTTTTTTTAAAGGCCCTGTGGACTACAGTCCCGTTGGGTTGGGGATGATGGGCGCTGGGGCTTAGCAAGCATCTAGAGGGCCAGAACAGGGCAGATGTGTGGATGGATTCACATGTTACTTGTCATTTTTCTATCCTTGGCAGGGATCTACTGCCCTGAATGTTACAGGATCCTCAATAACACCTGTTCCATCTGTATGGCCCCCCTCACGTACCAGGGTGACATAGACGAGGAAATGTAAGTGTCTGCACTTATGGCAGTTGTTAAGTGGAACAGTCTCATTCCCCTCCTCTCTGCAAACTCCACTCCTTTCTAGCACTGATGATGTTACCTAGCCGGGTCACGAAACGTCTGCAAGGAAACCACCAAGCTCAGAGAGCATCAAGGACCCCACAGTTGTTGTTGTCCTCCTCCTCCTTTTCCATCTCCTCCTTCTCCTCTTCCTCCTCCTCCACATACCACTCTCTTCTAGCACTGATGATGTTCCCTAGTTGGGTCATGAAACGTCTGCAAGAAACCAGCAAGCTCAGAGAGCACCAAGAACCCCCACGGTCCTCCTTCTCCCTTCTAGCACTGATGATGTTCCCTAGTTGGGTCATGAAACGTCTGCAAGGAAACCACCCAGCGCAGGACCCTCCGTGCCAGGGACCCGTCTATTAAAGGATGCGCTTTTCTTTTCAAACCCTCATTTAGAGACTCAAGTGACGAGGAGGCGATGGTGCTCTGGACAAACGCGGTCCGTGCGCTGCGCGGCGTCCCGGATGAGAAACGGCAGAAGCAGCGCCGTTTGCTGAAGACACGGATCCTGCGGGCGGTGAAAGGAGAAGGCGGGTGCCGCGCGTTGGCTCCACAGCTGGCAAGGAAAATCTTGGCACAATTGAAAGAGGAGGAGGAGGAGGAAGAGGAGGGTAATGAGAGCGAGGAAGACTCATCCTCCAGTTCAGACGAGAGCAGTACGTCGAGTTCGGGCACAAGGTGAGAAGTGAACGCCACCATCGGCCGTTCCCACAATTGATCCATACCGTTTACAACAGAGAGGACCGCACTGCAGGGGTGGAAGGGTGAGGGAAGCTGTCTCTCTCTCTCTGTACTCTACTAGCAAACAGCCAGAGGGTGCAGCCAAAGTATTGGTAGGATTTCTGCATTGAATCTAGGTTTAATCATTGCTGAATCGGGGTTTAATCATGGTTCATTGGTTGAATTGTGGCTTAATCCTGGAAAGAAGTCCCAATAACTGGCTTGGGAATTCTGGGAGTTGAAGTCCACCAGTCTTAAAGTTGCCAAGTTTGGACACCCCTGAATTAGTACATAAATTCTGGCTGGGGGTGTCAGACTTGCTGGGTCGGTCCCCGACAGGCCACGTCATGGCTTGTGAAGATAAATTAGGAAAATATATTTGCAAAAAATATTTTTAAAACGTATGCTTTTTCCCCCTCGTTCCTTTTGAGTCAAGAAAAAAGCCAGCGTCTTTGACTAACTTTTAAACTCTTTTTTTACAAGTCGGGGACTCGCTGGCAGGAGATGCTATCCCGCCGCAATCGAGTAAAAAATAAATTGAAAAAGAAAATATCAAAGATAAATAAAACAAATAAAAAACATAACATAAAATAAAGATCCATGCGTGTTTCCTTTTTTTTTTTTTTCCCAGCCATCTTGACTTCAGCTATCAAAACGAGGCCGAGATAAGCAGTGGTGAAGAATTAGAAGAAGTCAAAACTGACTCGGACGAAGTTGGAAAGAGAATCTGAAAAAAATGACCTTTTCCTTATAGACCAATCTCCTTGTCTATGAAAAAAAAGAAGGTATCTATCTGACAGTATTCAATGGAGCGATCCAACGAGACAAAATATGGAATTATTCTCACCCCCCTCCCAAATCTTTACGTTCTTGGAGACTTTGAGGATCTTTTAGAATTCAGATTTTTGGCAAAATCTGGAGGAAAAAAAAAGCTTTCGGATCTGTTTTACAGCATGTAGATTTCTTGGTGGTCTCCCGTTCTTGGTACTTACTAGTCCCCGACTCGTTTTTAGATTTAGAGTTCAGATGTGATGGCTTTCAGGATGGGTCCTTTGACCTCCCTGAGGTCACCCAAAATCAAAAAGGAATTTTATAAATAGGAGTGTATGGCAGAAATCTAGCAGTTCAAGGATCTTATGGCAGACATCTAGCAGGTCAAGTAGAGATGGATCTTATGGTAGAAATCTAGCAGGTCAAAGAGATTTACCTCAAACACAGCTGCGCATTCGCCATGCCTGTTTTGTTTTGTTTTCAAATCAACAATTTCCTTGAAGGTTGCGATGCGAAGGTGCCACGAAAAAAGCGAGCAAAAGATACACCGACACACACCCACATACCACAACGCTTCCCTGCTCTCCATTTTATTATCAAGCCCTCGGCACAGATCCAAAGTCCCCTTGAATTCCAGCACACTAACAACAATTAACAATAGTTTAAAAAAAAAATAAAACCAAATCAGGAACGGTCTCCTTTTCCCAAATGGTCCAAGTAAATATGCTTTTTTTTTTTGTCCCCCCCCCACAACTAGCACTACCGCTGCCAGGTAGGACGCTGTAAGAGACGGAGTGCTTACTCGACAAGACGGAAAAAGAGGAAACTAAGACAGGGAACGTTGCAGAAAATAACCAGGAACCGGCTTTCTCTTTCTCTCTCTTTTCTTTCTTGGTTTCAAGTAGCTAATTCAAGTTTAAACACAAAGGCACTTTTAAAGCTAAGGAAAATTGGGTTATTTCCTCTCTTTGTGGAAGTGCGGGGGGGGGGAGATTGGGATTGAAGAGGAAGAGAATCAGAGGGGGGGGGGGGTAAAAATATATTATCTCTCTTAAATACAGATTAACTCTCAGCAAATACTTCCGGAGGGCGGGAGCTTCCTGCAGGTTTTCCACACGCGCGCACACTCACACACCCCTCCCCAATTTTATCTCTCTTATTCTCCAAGAAAATGCAAAAATCCCTTGTGCAAAAAAAAAAAAAAAAAAAAACAGGAGTGAGAAACTTCCCATTCTGAAGGCGTATCTTAGTGCAATCAAGTCAGGAATTTAAGGAAAGAGGTTGCTCAAAAAAGTCCTAAAAAGGGGGGGGGGGTCATTTCTTTTTTAAAAAATAAAAAAATATTTGTTTTGTGCAAACTGCCTGGGGGGGGTACCTTTAGTTCAGGAAATGGGGGGGATTACAGGGAGAAGCCTTCCCCCCCTCCCACATTTATGTGCTAATCATTTTGCAACAAGCTGGGGGAAGGTGTGTGTGTGTGTGGGGGGGGAGTTTTGCAGCTTCATTGCAACCCCCCCACCACTTCATTGCTGGGAGGGGGGCAAAGCTATATAAAGGATCTGAGCCAGTGTGCAGAGAGCAGCCTTCTGCAGTGTGCAAGACAAGCCACCAGGGGGCGGCCAAGTCCAGGCCAGGAGATTTGGAAAAAGAAAGCAGCGCAGAGATTGGCCCAAATTTGGATCAACTTGAATCCATTTGAATTTCCCACAATGGAAAAAAAAAAATTGGACTCAGGTTCTCTGCGCTGGGTCCACACCGCCGACTGGATGCAGCATGCTCGGCCCAAGCTGTACAGGTATTCCTTGACTTACGACGACAACGGAGCCCGTAATTTCTGTGCCTAAGCGAGACAAGGTGTTCAGGGAGTTTTGCCCCCGTTTGTGTAGGGAATGGCTGCCTTGCTGAGTTAGCAACAGACTCGCCTTCCCCCCTGATTTCGCTTGTCAGAAAGTCACAAAAGGTGATCACATCACACACACACACACACACACATACACACACACACACACACACCGGGACACTGCAATGGCCATTAATATGAACCAGTTGCTAAGCATCCGAGTTTGGAATCACGTGATGGCGCAACGGGCGCCCATTGTGAAAAAGTCACTTTTTCAATGCCGTTGTAACTCTGAAGGTCACTAAAACGAATGGCTGTTAAGTCAAGGACTAACTGTAATACGTCCATGGGGTAAACAATGGCACCACACCTGTCTCCCTTGTGCAGCACATCTGGGGATGATGGGACTGAGAGGGACTCGTTCGGAATGATCTGGTGGGGTAAAAAGACCTTCTCTTGGTTTTTTTAACCTTCTGAAATGGGGGGGGTGGAGGGAACCCCCCCCCAAATGCAGCAACTAAGCTCTGACGGGTCATCCAAATGGACGCCAGAGAATTGGTTTCGAATTGAATTTCTGCACTCTGAACAGGAAAGGGAATCGGGTTTATTTCTCCTCTCCCTTCCTGATCCTAAAAAAAGGACCCAAACAATATCCTTAACAGAGAAGGGAAAGAAGAAATCGCCCCCCCTCATTCTCACTCTTTTCTCCTTCCTAATGTGAAGCAATGTCCCCCCAAAATAGCCCCCCCTCAAGTGCTGCCCCTCCCTGCCCCACAGCCCTTTCGCTTTTCATCGGCCGGGGAAGCAAAAACTCAACCGTGCTTCCTTTCCCTGCAAATATATGCTTATTTTAGACACCCTGAGCAAACAGGCACCAATTGGTCGTTGGTGCCCTCCATACACCCCCCCCCATCCGCTTGACCCCACTCTCCTTGGCTTTATAGGCTGCTTAAGGCACGGAATTGGAGAGTGGGGAAGTGGGTCTTAGTGCATTTTGTCTCGGCGACAACGTCCGGGAATAGTATATCATCTCGCCACTGACGGTCTGGCCGAGCGGATGAAAAGAAATAGTGCACAAACGAGTTCTGCAGTGAGGAGGTTAGGCCGTTTCGACAGCTGCCACGGGGCCATCCTCCTTTGGCCCCTCGTCAGCGCCTTCTTCCTCTTCCTCCTCCTCTTCCTCTTTGGGGGCGGGCGATCTCACGGCCGCCCCAGCAGGCCAGTAGTTGTGTAGTTCCTCCATGCGCCCGTTGGCCAAACCGAGTTGAGTGGTGGACAAGGCAACGCCGGTGGGTATCAGGGAATCGGGCTCCGGATCGGGACCCCTGCGTCGGCGCCTGGTGCGGATTTCCAGACAGTTCTGGCCTTTCAGGTGGCGCTGGAGGTGGTCGTCCTTGGCGAAGGCTTTGTGGCAAAGGCAGCACTCGTAGGGACGGGCGCCCGTGTGCAAATGAAGGTGGTTTTTCAGATCGTAGCTATGCAGGAAGCGAGCTGTGCAGTGGGGACAGGAATAGGGGCGCTCGCCAGTGTGTTTGCGCATGTGGATCTTGAGTTTGTCATTCCTGGGGAAAGAAGAGATGGGGGTGTAAATTCGGGGGGGGGAGTGCATTGCTAGGAGTTTCACATTTAGCTTAGTCTTTAGGAGGATGGAAAGGGAGCCAAGGAGATGGGAGTGAGCAAGAGGGAATTAATTTTTGAGATGCAATTACAGGTAGTCCTCGAGTTACGACCACAATAGAGCCTAAAATTTCTGTTGCTAAGGGAAACATTTGTTAAGTGTGACTTGCCCTGTTTTATAACCTTTCTTGTCTCCGTCTCCTTCCTTTCTCTTTTCCTTCCTTTCCTTCCCTTTCTTCCTTTCATTTCCTCCCACCCTTTTTCTTCCCTCCCCTTCCTTCCTTTCTTCATCCTTTCCTTTTCCTTTCCCTTCCTTCTTCCTTCCTTCCTTCCTTCCTTCCTTCCTTCCTTCCTTCCTTCCTTCCTTCCTTCCCTTCCTCCTTATCTCTTTCCTTTCCTTTCCTTTCCTTTCCTTTTTCCTTCCCTTTCCTTTCCTTTCCTTCCCTTTCCTCTCTCCATCCCTCCCTCCTTCCTCCCAAAATTATACCCTCTTGGTCTGTCTGAAACCAATACTTGATACCCAGCCTCTTAATACTGGAATTAATTTGGGGACGTGGGGAAGCGATAGCTCCGAGACAAGATCAACCGTTACCGGGTAAAACGGACGCCGCACACGTCACAGGCGAACGGCTTCTCCCCAGTGTGGGTCCGCATGTGGCGAGGTAGTTTCCCTGCCCCGTGGATGATCTTGTGACAGACGGGACACTCCTGGGGCATCTGCGAGCGCCGCTTGCGTACCAACTTGTCTGGGGGGTCGAGACCCACGGACAGACCCTCCTGGTTTAATCGACGCATGTAGGATAGAATGTCCTGCTCCGTGGGCTCATCGTCTGAACCCAGGTCTTCTAGAGAGAGACTGGGAACGTACGGGAAGGGGAAGGTACGCGAGGGGGGCATGACCTCTTCCTCCTCCTCGCGGGGGTGGCCCAGCGCTGGGGCAGGCGATGCCTGGCTGGGCGGACTGGGGCGCTCCTGAGTCTCTGTTGACGCCGGAGACAAGGACGGAGAAACCTCCGTGATGTGGTTGTTTAGTCGCGAGCCTTTGGCTTGCAGGAACTTGCGCGTTTTCTTACTACGGCGGGGAGCTGGGCACGCGGAGGGCTCGGCCAGGTCGCCTTCCATGTTAGGCAGCGTGCCGAAAGCTTCCAGGTATCGCCGGGCGCGTTCCCGTGCGGCGTCATCCGGCACAGGCGCCTCCAAGCCATTTCCTTGCAGGATCTCCACGCAAGCCGCGATGACACAGGGGATCTCCAGGATGCGTGCGGCGCGCAAGACATCGCAAAGGCTGCCCGTGCTGATGGTCAGGGTGGCGGTGTAGGCGAAGTCCAGCAGGGCCCCCAAGGCGTCTGCGCCCACAAAATCAAGCTCGCACACTGGCATGCAGGGGCCGGCGAAAAGCCTTTGGAAGTAGCGGCTGCAGGCGGCCAACACGGCCCGGTGACTCTGATATTCAGAGCCCTGGGCTCGCAGAGTGACGTCGCACAGCATCCCTCGGCGACGCTGCTCGTTCAGACGACCCAGGAGTTCGCTGCTGTGCTCCGGAAAAGGTATGCCGATCAGGTCATCTTCAGGGCTACCCATTGCCTCACCTGCAGGGGGGGGGGGAAAGAGTCAGCGATATCAGTGGGGCGATTCAGCAGACTAGGAATAACAGAATAAGAGAGCTGGAAGGGACCTTGGAGGTCTTCTAGTCCAACCCCCCGCTCAGGCAGGAAACTCTAAACCATTTCAGAGAAATGTCTGCCCAATCTCTGCTTAACTTCCAGTGATAAAAAAGGAAGGGAAGGGAAGGGAAGGGAAGGGAAGGAAGGATAACAGAATAACAGAAGGGACCTTGGAGGTCATCTAGTCCAACCCCCTGCTCAGGCAGGAAATCCTACACGATTTCAGACAAGTGGCTGTCCAATCTCTTCTTAAAAACCTCCAGTGATAGGAAGAAAGAAAGAAAGGAAGGAAGAAAGGAAGGAAGGAAGGAAGGAAGGAGAAAAGAATAGCAGAATAACAGAATAACAACGCTGGAAGGGACCTTGGAGGTCTTCTAGTCCAACCCCTGCTCAGACAGGAAACCCTAGACCATTTCGTGGCTGAACCACAGATATCTGGGCTCTGTTGTGCTTGTGTGTCAAGATTCTGTGGATGTAGCTTTTACTCAATTAAATAAGATTAGCTTCTCTTGTCGTGTTTCCTGTCTGGCTGGGCTGACAGTGAATGAGGACTCGTTCCGGGTCCTGCCGTCAACCAGAGGCAGGCAAGCAAAGGAGGATGTGCGTACTGAGAGAGCCTGCACCTCCACGCAGGAGGAAGAGGTTGCGCTAGAGGTTACAGGGCGCAGATCAAGTCCCTCGATAACCACCTGAAGAAGCCGATTTCCTAGGAAAGATAAACTTGGTCCCGCCTGACTCCGGTTGCCTTGGGTGTCTCTGGGGGAGGCAAGCCGCTTTGAACCTCCGCTGGGGCGAAGGAGGCAGAGACGTAGGAGTTGTATGTCATGACATACTAGCTGTAGTTCCCCCTCTTCCCCTCGAATTGGCTGGGGAAGATGGGAGATGGAGTTCTTGCTGCTGCGACAGGATCCCCTGTGCCCAGCCATGTCAGGGCTGAGCATCAAGAGGAGAGCAATGTGGGGGGGGGGGGGATGGTGCCATGCAGGAGAGCTAAGATGATGTTACTCAGCCTTGGCAACATTAAGAGGGGTTGGCTTCAACTCCCAGATTTCTCCAGCCAGCCTGCTTTAAGAGGGGTGGGCTTCAATTCCCATTCAACTCACAGCTGACCATGAAAATCCTATTAAAACAGCAAACCATTAAATGTACATCCTATCGGAATTAGCATTGGCTCAATGGTTAGGCCAAGATTCAATTGGATCCCCCAGAAGGTGAAACCTGTGTTGAGAATCCACTTTTTTTCCCCTCCCTCCCTCCCTTCCTGTTTTCTTCCTTCCCTCCCTCCCTCCTTCCTTCCTAACAAGTTCATGGATAGTTCATGTTTAGTTCTCTGAAGAACACAAGACCCTAATAAAAGTGCCCCTCCTTCCTTCCTTCCTTCCTTCCTTCCTTCCTTCCTTCCTTCCTTCCTTCCCTTCCTTCCTTCCTTCCTTCCTTCCTTCCTTCCTTCCCTCCTTCCTTCCAAATAAGTTCATGGATAGCTCATGTTTAATTCTCTGAAGAACACAAGACCCTAATAAATATGGTCCTCCTTCCTTCCTTCCTTCCTTCCTTCCTTCCTTCCTTCCTTCCTTCCTTCCTTCCTTCCTTCCTTCCTTCCCTCCCTCCCTCCCTCCCTCCCTCCCTCCCTCCCTCCCTCCACCTCGAGGTCTTCCAAAGCTATAAAGCTGGCATTTCACCCGCCTCCACTCTCCAATCATTTCAAATCCGAACTATATTACTTTATAAAACCGATAACAAATATGAAAAGGCCGGCACAGAGGGAGAGAAAACACAGCCGCCGCCATTGACCGAACCCGCAGGCCGACTCGGCGACCTCTCTCGCCCTTCGCCCATGCTCAGAGGCCCTGTGTGCGCCGCCAGTAAACCCTTCCGGCTTGGAAAAAGATGGGAGTCCCCCCCCCCGGTTGGCTCGCTCACCTTCTTCCTCTCCTTACCCTTTGCCCAGATTGTTCAGGTGCCCTGGGCAAGGATGCAGAGAGAGAGAGAGAGGTGGGGCCGCGTTCTGGGGGGCAGACGGGAAGGAAGGGAGGCGGCGGAGGAAAAACTGAGGCATGCCCCTTCTCGCCCGGGGGAACCAGCTTGGTCTGGGCGGTGGCCACTCCCTGGCATCTTGGGTGCCCGCCAGGAGGGCTGTTTGCCTTTGCCAGGACAGGGGGAAGAAAGGGGTGGGTGGGTAGGTGGGGGCAGGAATGGGCTTTGACAGGACCGCCCCTCCCCTCTCTGCCAAGCAGGCTCGACCGGCTGGGCAAGGGGTGGGCAGGCTGGGTTGAAAAACTGCCGGGCGTGGTAGGGAAGCGAGGGCACTCTGACCCAAGGTTTAGGTGCGGCGCCGAGCAGGGTGAACACCCCCAGCTATGCCAGCTCAGCCTGCAGCCCTGGCTGGGCACGGAAGCAAAGGGGAAAGTTTTATTTTATTTCTCTCCCCCCCCCCAAGTCTTCTCAGACTTTGAGACTAGCTGGTTGGCAGCCCGGCTACTCTTTCCCCACCGTTGGCACCCGCCCTGGAAGCCTGGGGCATTGCGTGCCCGTCCTTGGCTTCCCCTGAGTTTAATCCCCTGAGATTGTGGGCTTTTTTTTTTTTTTTTTTTGCACAAGGCGTTCTGTTCGGAACCCGACGCACACCACAAGCTGGCACGAACTCACGCCAGGCTCAGCCCAGGATGCCAATAAAAATTTTAAAAAAATAGACATGCCGGATTGCAGAGAGATTGAACTGCCTGTGCTGCCCCCCCTCCCCTCCATCTGCCCGGCTCTCACAGCTTCTTCCTGTGGAATGTCTGCCTGGTTTTGGTTACGTTGGGCGCAGAGGCTCGGCCTTTGGAATTCCTGCCTGGAGTTTTGCAAAGGAAAAGAGGCCATCAATCAAAGGTCCTTTTGGAGAGTCTGCAGGAAGTGGGGCTCCTTCCTGTTTGTGTGACCGGACAGTTTTGCCTACCAGGAACTCAGAATCCTGACCCAATTCTTGCCCAAGCTTAGCAACAGAAACAGGGAAAAGGGACGAGCCGGGAGGAGGCGCCCCCAAAGACGTTTTGGGGTGTCCAGAAAAGAACCGTCCATGAAATCAAAGTTGGTTTCATTCTTCCCCCCCTCCCCAAAAAAATAAAATGTCATCTCCTGGTGAATATCTGCCTGTTGGCACGAGACCAGCAGGCTTGGCCTTAATTTTGCAATAAATCCAAGATCTGGCTTGAATTGTTTCCCGGAATTGCCTGGACTCTGGGGTCAGTTTTCAGTCTCCTGAAACAAGCCAGCATTGTTAAAGTACAGATAGCTCTTGACTTACAATAGTTTGTTTAGTTCAGTTTAGTTTTTTTTAAGGCTGAAAAAACCCGTGTGCCATTTCTTGCTGGCAAGAGAAAAACACTCTGCACGTGCCCACAGGATACTCTACTCCTGTCTGTGCTACCGGGATTAGAGATTTTGGAAAAGAATCTGACGTTGTTTCAAATGAGAACGATGGTATCATTCTTTTTTTCTCTCCTGCAATTCGGCCGAAATAAACCCGTACGAAAAACGAAACCTACATCGGATCAAAGTTTGCTTCCATTCCTGCCTGTCGAAATCCTTCTTGATCCACAGCAGAAAAAAAAAAAATCCAGGAATCGGAGAGTTTGAAAAAAGGGGAAGAAGAATTTCCGTGCAAAGGAAGAGTAAAATATTTTATGGCTAAAACAAAACCAACCAACCAACCAGCGTTTTTCTGACTATCTTTCAGGTAGCTGAAGCCCAAACTGGGTTTAGTTTAATCACCAGGCTAAACCACCTTGACGAAAACAGCCAAAGAGGAATCTTAGATTGAAGGAGGGTAGCAAACAGGAAATCTCAAAATGTACCTCTAGCAATTTCCAAGTCAGATTTATTTCCCTCCCACTCGTCCTTTCAACGTGGGCTCAAGCCTCTTTTCCTGTTTTCTGCAAAAGTTTTCAAGATGGCAACGGACAGGCTGTAAAAAAGGACCGCCAAGAATTGTGGGTGTGCTACTCCGGTGTGTGTGTGTCCCACACTCTGACCGAAGACCCCAATATGGCCAGCGTCCAATCAAGAACGGCTGGAAGGTGACCCGTTAAGAAGCAACTCTTTGAAGCTTGCTAAGCAGGCAGCCTCCTCGGTGAGGCCTAGTGGCATGCCTCGCCGATGGCCAAAAATCAAATTTAGGAAAGACGTCGTCGGGAAACGGAGCTCGCTCACAACCGAGAACAGCGTGTCCCGGTGGGAAGATGCAAAGCCTTGGTGCTCCAGAGCATGTGCCGATAGCTTTTTTCCCCCTCTCCTTCTCTCCCTAAAATCCAGCCTCAGAGGTTGTGGGGGAGAGATTTGAAATGAAAAAAGTGTGGGTGGAAAGACGGATGCGGGGATGGGAGGTGGGTTTTTTTTTTCCACCCTGGGGAGATGCTGTGACATGATAAGGCCGAGAAAAAAAAAAACTGAAAAAGGGGAGCCGAGAAACTAGACACGAGACATTTACAGGAAATCTAAATAAATGGGGACTTTCTGCATTCTGATTTGTCACCCAAAGTTGCATCTCTGAAAATTCCCCCGCTTTCCTCCCATCGAGGCTCCCTTTTCAGTCTCTTGGGGCATCGGAACCGGCCTTTGCAGTGGCCTGCTCTGCAAATTGGGGAGAGGGTCACACCAGGGTCTCCATCACCCCCAACCCTGTGGCCACGTTCAGCCCCGCACCGGAAGCGCGATAGGTTTTCCCCCTGCCTAAAAGACTGAAGAGCAAGAAAACCTGGTTATAAGGAAGCCATAAAGCCATTTTGGGGTGGGTTCAGGAGATCAATTGGGGAGAAGAAGGACTTGGGGGACCCTCAGCCAGAGAAGCCTCCGAAAGACAATTTCGCAACTTTCACTCGGATGGGTTGAGCTGTGGGCTGCTGGGCCTGTTCCCCAAGCTCCTAGTCCTCAAGAGATCTCCAGAC